TCCTTCCTTCCTTCCCCCCTCCCTCTTCCTTCCTTCTTTCCTTCCTTCTCTCTTTCCTCCCTCTCTTCCCTCTCTCAATTTCCTTCCATCCTTTCATCCTTCCTTCTTTCTTTCCTTCCTTCCTCCTTCGCTTCCTTCCTTCCATCCTTCTCTTCCTCCCTCCCTTCCTTCTCTTTTTCCTTCCTCCTTCCCTTCCTTCCATCCTTTCGTCCTTCCTTCTTTCCCTTTTGTCTTTCCTTCCTTCTCTCTTTTGTTCCTTCTTACCTCCCTCCCTTACCTCTTTCCATCCTTCCCTTCCTCCATTTCATCCTTCCTTCTTTCTCCCTTTCCATCCTCCTTCCCTTCCTTCCTTCCATCACCAGGCAGCCAGTCCTCTTAGTAGGGAGTGCTAGCACGTGGCCCCCAAGTTAGAAAGTTCAGCCATGCCTGCTGTAACTCCTCCAGATTCCTCAGTCTGACCTTTTCCTGGTCAAAAAGAGAAGCTGAATTGACTCTCTTGGAAGCATGAGGAGTGGCAGTTCTTTAAATAGTTTGGAAATGCCAATGACTCACTTCTAACCACTTTTGTTTTTGTCTCCTTTGTTTTCTGTCATTAGTGGCAATCTATACAAGTAAGGTAGACACTAAATTAGAGGGGGTGCAGGGCAAAGTGTTTTCTCATCTGCCACTGGGCCGTGGCAGACTTCCTTGATTGACATACCAGCAATCCAAGAACCTGCCACTGCTTAAAACAGCCTATCATTTTTTTTTAATCTGGAGAAACCTTTGAGAGATCTTTCAGGTGTCACTGAATCTTTGCCAAAAAAAAGTCTGTTTTCCCCCAATTTAAGTATCTTGTAGAATCTTTAGCAACCATTCATGGAGCCCTAGGGAAATCAGATGGAAAAAACTCTGGCTTAAGACTGTTAAGTAAGAAAGTAATAACACCGTAAGGAGGGTTAAGAAGCCCTGGGAGATGGCTGGTGGATGCACAAAACAGCCAAGCACTCACCCTGCTTTTGAGAATGCTTGAAATCTGTAAAAACAGATCTGAATGGTACAGGAAAAAAAAGATATACAATATATGCGTTTTTCTAGGAGACAGGCTGACTATATCAAGTAAAACAAACTAGACAGTAGATTGGGGGAAATGGGAAATGTGGATACACTAATGTTTGGCTCCGAAGTATGCTTTAGTATGTAAGAAGTAAATTGGAAGTGAGGGCAATGAAAAGGAAATTACAGGGAGGCCTGTAGGAAGGATGGTTGTACAATTTGCTCAATTAAGTTTTGTTATGTCTGAGCACTTGTTCATGAGTAATTATGTGGTCACAAACTGAAAAGAAGCAGAAATCCAGAGGAGAGGAAAAGGAAACAACTAAAGCAAGGAAATCACTGTTGCTTGCACTCAATTTGTAGTGTGATTTGAAAGCCTGGAGCTATGACCGTGTAACTGCTTTACACATGTCCTACAGAAGAACACCACCCAGGAAGCAAATGATTTTGTGTATATCCCTCCAGCTTTCTTGATGTGGGTGGAACTGATGACCGAGTTAACCAAGAACATTTAGCTACATGGAACAAGTATGGTAGAACCAAAATGAATGCTGGCTTAAGAGCCTGTTGTCGCTCAGTGAAAAATAGGATCTTCCATTGTCATAGAAGCTTGACTGACTACTCGATCCAGAACTTTACCCATATGCAACATTTGCTCCACAAAGGACCGACTATTGTCAGTGTGAGAAGCCAGATCATGGCCACCCACTAAATTGGGTGGAGACCTCTTGGCAGGAGAATGTGAAGTTGGTTAAGAGGAATGTGAGGTTTCATCTCGACCGGAGGACTCTGAACCCTCACATGAAGTCTCCAGAACAACTATTGACAGAGACCAAGCCAGTCCGAGTGCAGTGAGTGAGGCAAAGGCTGATTAGTCTTTGACTTCCCATTGAGATGGTGATTTCTGACAAGGTGGAGACTGCTGATGCAACAGATATAAACAGAATTGCAATGATAAGATGGAGGACAGAAAAGGTCTTCGCTACACTTGTGGTGTCTGGATACAGAATCCCTCCAGTGTTGTCTATGTGCAGAGTAAAGAAATGATGCTTTTCCAGGAATATTTGCAAAGAGGTGTTTGAAATGTTGATTTTGAAAAACATTGAAAATGATTACTAATGGACAGGCTCTGCGCTGTTATGAATTTTAGAGAAGCTTTGATGTAAAAATGTATTTTTAACAAGTATTTAGTGAGGAGAATTTTTAGATTGGATGTAAAAATGTTAACAAACTTGTATGGCCTGGCTAGAAATAATAGAAATGCCTTTTACAAATGAATTCTGTTTTTAGAGATGATAGAATGCTGCTCTTCACAAACAATTATGGATCCCGAAAGCATACACTGATCTTGCTATACCTTTCAAGTACAAATGTTGCTTTTTGCAGGTGCTTCCTAACTTTCCTAACTTTGATAAAATTCCTATTAGATTATTTGGAATAGCAGCTAAAGAGATTCAGTCACAAATCACAAGCACTGCAGTTCAAACAGAATGGGAAACCAACCAAGGCTTCGGTTTTCGAGCCATCATTTGATCTGGCATGCTCCCTGAAAACGTACAGAGCCTTGAAAGTCCATCAATAAGCTGCAGACTGAAATCAGGAGGGAAATGCATTCCTTTTAACTACAGGCAACTAATTAAAGCTAAAACAAAGTTTGTGCGGTTCCAGTAACTGCTGCTACAGTAATGAAGGGCTACATATTGGGTAGGGGAAGTAGTTCATCTAAAGCAGTGGTTCTCAAACTTTGCTCATTCAGATGTTTTGGACTTCAGCTCCCACAATTCCTAACAGCTGGTAAACTGGTTGGGATTTCTGGGAGCAGAAGACCAAAACACCTGGAGGAGCACAGTTTGAGAAACACTGATCTAAAGAATATTCTGCCTCATTAAGGTAAAGGTTTTCCCCCTAACATTAAGTCTACTCATGTCCGACTCTGGGGGTTGGTGTTCATCTCTATTTCTAAGCCAAAGAGCCGGCATTGTCCGTAGATGTCTCCATGGTCATGTGACTGGCATGACTGCATGGAGTGCTGTTACCTACCCGCTGAAGCAGTACCTATTGATCTAATCACATTTGGATGTTTTCGAACTGCTAGGTTGGCAGAAGCTGGGGCTAACAGCATTCGAATCCCTGGATTCGAACCTGTGACCTTTCCGTCAGGAAGTTCAGCTGCTCAGCGCTTTAACCCACTGCAGCATCTTGTTTACTGTTTATTCGTTCAGTCGCTTCTGACTCTTCATGATCTCATGGACTAGCCCACATCAGAACTCTCTGTTGACCGTGGCCACCCCCAACTCCTTCAAGGTCAAGCCAGTCACTTCAAGGATAACATCCATCCTTCTTGCCCTTGGTTGGCCCTCTTCCTTTTTCCTTCCATTTCTCCCAGCATCATTATCTTCTTCAAACTTTCCCATCTTCTCATTATGTGGCCAAAGTACTTCATTTTTGCCTCTACTATCCTTCCTTCCAATGAGCAGTCAGGATTTATTTCCTGGAGTATGGACTGGTTGGATCTTTTTGTGGTCCAAGGCACTCTCAGAATTTTCCTCCAGCAACACAGTTCAAAAGCATCTATCTTCCTTCGCTCAGCCTTCCCTATGGTCCAGCTCTCGTATCCATAGGTTGCTATGGGGAATACAATTACTTTAACTATGTGGATCTTTGTTACCAGTGTGATGTCTCTACTCTTCACTATTTTATCTAGATTGGACATTACTCCCCTCCCAAGAAGTAAATGTCTTCTGATTTCCTGGCTGCGGTCTGTGTCTGCAGTCATATTTGTGCCTAGAAATACAAAGTCTGTCAATGTCTCCACGTTTTCTCCCTCTTTTTGCCAGTTGTCAAACAGTCTGGTTGCCATAAACTTGTTTTTTTATGTTTAACTGCAACTCAACTTTTGCACTTTCTTTTTTCACCTTTCATAGAAGGCTTCTCAGCTACTCCTCGCTTTCAGCCATCAAAGTGGTATCATTTGCATATCTAAGGTTGTTAATGTTTCGTCCAGCCATTTTAACTCCAGCCAGCCTTGGATTCGTCAAGCCCCGCACGTCGCATGATGTGTTCTGCATACAAGTTGAATAGGTCGGGTGAGAGTATACAGCCCTGCCATGCTCCTTTCCCAATTTTGAACCAATCTGTTGTTTCATGTTCTTGGCAGGGGGTTGGTCTGTTCTTATTGTTGCTAATACAGATTTCACAGGAGACAGACAAGATGAGGGACAGGGAGCAAGGCACAGGGAGGAGGGAGCAAGCTTGTTTTCTGCTTCCCTGGAGACTAGGACGCGGAACAATGGCTTCAAACTACAAGAAAGGAGATTCCATCTGAACATGAGGAAGAACTTCCTGACTGTGAGAGCCATTCAGCAGTGGAACTCTCTGCCCCAGAGTGTGGTGGAGGCTCCTTCTTTGGAAGCTTTTAAACAGAGGCTGGATGGCCGTTTGTCAGGGGTGATTTGAATGCAATATTCCTGCTTCTTGGCAGGGGGTTGGACTGGATGGCCCATGAGGTCTCTTCCAACTCTTTGATTCTATGATTCTATGAAGGGTCGCTCACGGAAGCCAGATGCAGTTGGTACTGGGTGCAGGGGCTCCACGCCAACGGAGGCAAGTACAGACTGCCCAGATTAGAAGTTAAGGATTTCCCCATTAGTTAGTATACAGTTATGAAGATAGTGCCTGTTTCCAGTGAACAAGATTGCAAGAGCCAATTAAATGCACAGGCCCAGTGTGTGACAGCACATTTAGAGTAGTCAATAAAACAATCTGCCAAATGAAACAGCTTTCAAACTCTCCCTTCCCTCTTTTCCTTCCTGCCTCCCTTTGAAGCCACTCTCACTCAGTCTAGATCTCTCAATGACACAAAACACGTGCTATTCCCGCTTTGCCCTCTAGGGGGCGGGCGCCGTTTTGAGAGTAAAGCCCCGCAGGACTTCATTTCCCAGCATGCCTCAGAGGAGAGGCGCTGCCGCCATCTTGGCTCCATCCGACGCGGGTTTCTGTATCGTAGGGGGGCCTGAGGAAGTGGCGGCTCCTCGGGGCCACTGATTGGCCGCCATGGCCCTTTTCCCTGCGTTTGCGGGCGCTGCTAAGCCCGGGGAGGCTCCAACGGGCGAGAGCGGGGGCTCCAAGAGAGGTAATGAATGGCCGCCTCTCCCCCCCCCCTCAAAATATATCCCAATGGTCTCGTCCTTTGCTTTGGTTCTGAAGCCTTCCTGCTTTGGGTGCCTCTAGACAGGCCTGGGCCAACTTGGGCCCTCCAGGTTTTTTGGACTTCAACTCCCACAATTCCTAGCAGCCGAGGCTGTTAGGAATTGTGGGAGTTGAAGTCCAAAACACCTGGAGGGCCCAAGTTGGCCCAGGCTGTTAGGAATTGTGGGAGTTGAAGTCCAAAACACCTGGAGGGCCCAAGTTGGCCCAGGCTGTTAGGAATTGTGGGAGTTGAAGTCCAAAACACCTGGTGGGCCCAAGTTGGCCCAGGCCTGCTTTATATGAACCTCTTTCCCACTTTAGTTGCTATAGAGACCTGGGATTTGGCAGAGGAGGCTATGTAAAACTACTAATCCCAGAATCCCATAGCATTTTGAGACATGAATAGTGTCAAACTATATTGATTTTACAGTGATAATTATACAATCATAGAGTTGGAAGAGACCTCATGGGCCATCCAGTCCAACCCCCTGCCAAGAAGCAGGAAAATCGCATTCAAAGCACTCCCGACAGATGGCCATCCAGCCTCTGTTTAAAAGCCTCCAAAGAAGAAGCCTCCACCACACTCCGGGGCAGAGAGTTCCACTGCTGAACAGCTCTCACAGTCAGGAAGTTCTTCCTAATGTTCAGGTGGAATCTCCTTTCTTGTAGTTTGAAGCCATTGTTCCGCGTCCTAGTCTCCAGGGAAGCAGAAAACAAGCTTGCTCCCTCCTCCTTATGACTTCTCCTCACATATTTATACATGGCTATCATGTCTCCTCTCAGCCTTCTCTTCTTCAAGCTAAACATGCCCAGCTCTTTAAGCCGCTCCTCATAGGGCTTGTTCTCCAGACCCTTAATCATTTTAGTTGCCCTCCTCTGGACACATTCCACCTTGTGTTTCTCCCTTCAGTTGTGATGCTCAGAATTGGACACAGTATTCCAGGTGTGGTCTGACCAAGGCAGAATAGATGGGTAGCATGAGTTTCCTGGATCTAGACACTATACTCCCTATTTATGTAGGCCAAAATCCTACATACATGGGGACCAAGCCCAGCATAAACAAGGAATTCAAAGTTACATAATTAAAAACATGGAAATAAACAGTATAGTGAAAACAATTAAAAACAGAAAAGTTAAAAAAAATCATAAAACGTATAAATTAATATCAATCCCCGGGCATGTTCAGGCAAACATTCAGCGCCATAAACTTCAGTGTGCATTCAATGCCATAAAATAACAACAGTAGACTAAACAATTCCAGATTAATAAAATAGAACATTCAGCAGTAATAATAATGATAATACATTTTTTATATCCAGCCTCTCTCCACAAGGACTTGGGGCGGCTCACAACGAAAGCAAATCACAATACATAAGTAGAAAACAAAAAAAGACATATGTAACAAATAAGCATAAACATTTTTTTAATAAAAAGATATCACAATAAATAAATACACAGGTTAAAAATTGTATGTAAAAATTGTTAAAAACATATTGCACTGCAGAGGCAAAACTTTCCTCTGTTACATCGCTCTACTGGCTGCCAGTTTGCTAACGGGCCCAATTCAAAGTCCTGGCTTTGGCCTATAAAACCCTAAACCAGTGGTTCTCAACTGTGGGTCCCCAGGTGTTTTGGCCTACAACTCCCAGAAATCCCAGCCAGTTTACCAGCTGTTAGGATTTCTGGGAGTTGAAAGCCAAAACATCTGGGGACACACAGGTTGAGAACCACTGCCCTAAACGGTTCGGGTCCAGCTTACCTGTCCAAACGTATCTTCTCTTTATGAGCCAACTAGAGCTTTAAGTTCTTTTGGGGAGGCCCTGCTCTCAGTCTTACCCCTTTACCGGCATGACTGGTGGGAACAGGAGACAGGGCCTTCTCAGTGGTGGCCCCTTGGCTATGGGACTCCCCAGTGAGATCAGATTGGCCCCAATCCCTCCTGGTCTTTAGGAAAAGGTTAAAGACCTGGCTTTGCACACAGGGGTTTGGGGGGTTAGGAAATGCAGAATTTGACCTCAATCTAGCAGTTTGAATAATTAATAATGACTATAGGAAAACCAAGAAGTATGGAAATCATGACTTGGCACTTTCTATGTTTTTTAATCTGTTTTATTGTATTTATATATTTTAACTGTTTATATGTTTTAACTGTTATAATTTAATGTGGTGTGTTTATGGTTGTGTATATGATGCGGCATTGAATTTTGCCATAGTTTGTAAGCCTTCAGGGTGAGAAGGACAGGGTATAAATATGGTAAATAAAATAAAATAAATAAAACCAGTTAAAAACTAATAGGTATTGACAAGGCTAAAAGTTTTTAGTTCTTTTCTCTTGTTCCTACTAGCCATGCTTGTGAGGGTGGTGGGACCGTGAGAAGCCCCCTACCCCGCCCCGCCCAGCGGCCCTTAAGACTTGAGTTGGTTCATGTGGGAGGTGCTGTCAAATCACAAGAGGACAATAATAACAGATTGCAGAATGTTAAAACAGGGATTAAAACAATAATTGAATTCCATTCCTTAATTCATAAAACTATTGAACAGTGGTACTCTCTGCCTTGGAGTCCAGTGGAAATTCCTGCCTCTTCTTTTAGTTTGAGGTGGGGCACAATAGAGTCAAATACATCTATAAAAGCACATATTAAAGCATAGTTAAAATACAAACCGTAAAATAATTTTTAAAAAACTATTTATGTCCCGCCCTATCTCGGGGGGGGGGGGGGGGGGGGGGGGACCACAAATATCAGCAAACATTCAATGCCGTAAAAACGAGACCAGGACAAAATAACCAAACCCATCCAGACCCCAAAAAATAACCACATCTACATCAAAAGTAATAATACATTATCAAAAATTAAACAATAACATAGCAAATACATGATTTCACAACTTACATTGGGAGGAATCAGAACAAGAATCTAAACACAATAAAATAAGGTTTAAAATACTATTTTTTGCACCCAGCATACATTAAAATAAATCAACATACATGAACCAAAACAATAAATATGTACCCCTCCTTATGAACCTGGCAGCCTAGTGGACTCTTGACTGATTGGGCTGAAGCAAATGATTAAAAGGGACATTGTTTTTTTCCCTGGGTTTCTATTTGCTGAACCCTGAAGTGCAGAATCATTTCTGGCTCATTCCCAACTGTGGCATTCATGGACCCCCGCTAATAGTGTTTGACTAGTAATGTTCAGCACATACAATGGGGAATTTCTGTCTATTTTGCTGATGTTGACAGGAAGAGGAGTGTCTCAGGCACCTGGAAAAAAAAACCCAGATGAGTCCTGGTATCCAGCTCACGCAGCACTGAATTTAACAGAGGGATTCTTTACTGGAAGCTTCTTTTCATTCCTGAGCATAGTGTGGGAATAGTATATGCACAAATAAGGCCTGAGCAAAATTTTGCAGCTGCAGTGCCTCTCCATATTGTTAATGTGTCTGGTATTTTATAGAAGAATGCTGGTATAGAAGTGTCTGGTGTTCTGCAACACAGCTTCTTACACAGTGGGTCCTGATCCCAAATGGTTTAGCTCAGTGTTGGGGGTCACGAAAAAATTGGCAACAGTAAAGAATGCCACCCATTTATACAAATCTGTTAGTAGCAACAGGCAGTGTTTACAGTGGACTCTGCAGAAAATGTGTCAGCTGTACTCTGCAGAAAGCAACATCAGCCTGTTGAGCAAGCCTTGCAAATGGTGATCTGTTACCAGTAAATGTTTGGTTTTATGCCTATTATATATACTTATATACTGGGATCATGTAAAAATGTTCCTCAGTGGAAAGGGGTCATGAGTGGAAAAAGTTTAAGAAGCTCTGGTCTATTTTAAAGCAGAACACAGTTATACGTCAGTTAATGAACTAGATTTGTTTGTTCCTGGGCATTAGTTCTTTAATAGAAGGTTTGGTACCAGAGGCAGGAATAATGTGGAAAGAATAGGGTTAGGGTCCTAAAGCTCTCAAAAAAAGAGAAGTACCAACATTATATGTAAATATGCCCTTTTCATCTCATTTCTTTTAAAAAAGTTTTAATTGATTTGATTCGATTTCCATAGTCTCCTTGGCTTCTGTACTTGCTTTCCCTATAATTGTATGCTCTACTGCCATCAAAATGATAAACATCATGTAAAAAACTCTTTTTTTGTATTTAAAAACTACATTAAGTTATTATTTTTGAAGTCCTTAATCACAGTGTTTTGTAAACTGGGTTGTCTGTTGGCATTAAAAGTACCCCCCTTTTTTCTTGTATATCTGCAGAATTCAACTGGCTAACCAACCCAAGTTTCTCCAGTGAAGATGCACTAAGATTGCATCAACATGTTTTAGAAGTAACAGATCCTGATGCGGAGAAATTATCAGTCCAAAGGTAATGTATTTTTGATATCTTTTATTATAGCCTATTGAAATGTACTCAGAGACAAACATACTGCCAGTTTTACAAATATTTATTTATTTATTTATTTAGCGTGTCAGTATCAACCAGACAATTGTATTACATTTTAAACAAACTTTTAACTAACAGACAAAACAGAGTTTGCAAGCTTGGTAGTTGATTAAATGTCCTTTGACCAGTAGCTGGCCACTTGGAGTGCCTCTGGTGTTGCTGCAAGGAGGTCCTCCATTGTGCACGCGGCATTGTGCATTCTCTCCTGACATTTTGCCTGCACCTATGGCAGGCATCCTCAGAGGTTGTGAGGTCTGTTGGAAACTAGGAAAATTGGGTTTATGCATCTGTGGAATGTCCAGTGTGCGAGAAAGAACTCTTGTCTGTTGGAGATAGGTGTGAATGTAGCAATTGACTGCCTTGATTAGCATGTAATGGCCTAGCAGTTTTCAAGGTCTGGCTTCTTATAAATGTAAGAATAGTAGTATTTTTGCATTTATAGGAGTAAGCCCCATTGAACTCAGTGAATTTTCAATAGCTATGCATAGGCTTGTGCTTTATGTCTACTTGTTAATATCTGCTAACCTTTTATGAAACCCTGGAGCTAATTTGCCAAGATGCTTGGTCTTGCCTTCAAGAAACAGTCACCATCTTCAGAAGTGCATTCATCTGAATACTAGGACATCAGTGTGATCTCAGACCCAGTAGATAATCTCATGACTAGAGTTGGGGGTGGAAGGGTGTGCCACTGTAAAAATGGAAATATCTGTGTACTATATTTGGGAATGTATGTTTCATGTGATTAGCTTTATGTCCATCATACATCATATGCAAACTAGCTCACCATGGGCGATCTTGATTTGCCCCTGCAAAATGTAAATTTTGGCTGTTTTTCAAAACTGATATTTTGAGGGTTAGAGAGCTCAAATTAGCAAAGAAAGATTATATATCTTGTTCTAGAGAAAATTTGCTTCCAGGAGCAGCTAGTTTCTAGTTTTGACTAAATGTAGGTGGTTGAGTGGAGTGGAGTCCAGGGCTTACAAAACCAACAATAAGGACAATAGGTGGCCTATAGGCTGTGCACTTGTTTTCCACGATTTTGCATCACAGTTATGGACTAAAAAGACCTTTTTGCACTTTAGTTGTATCAGAACTCATTATAACCCATTTTGTATTTTGGAGAAGCGGAGCTTATTAAAATGCTCTGTAATAATTAACTATTTATTCAATTCCCTTCCATCTTTTAAGTTTATGAATGAACTTCATCCATCTTCTGAAAGTTATTTTCAAGCAATTTCTGCCACATCTTTCTGCTTTCCCTCAGCTTTAGGAGTTGGATTGTGAATATTTTCGATTACATTGCTTTTGTTCTTTGCTTATGTCTGTTTATAAGCAGAACAACGTCCAGTTTAGAGCCACCAGCAGAAAGTGAAGCTTGTGAAAGTTCTGAAAAAACAGCTAAGAAAAGGAAGAAAAAGAAAAAACGAGAACACAAAAAAGTAAAAAAGAGAAAAAGAAGCAGGGATCAGAGAACCAGTGATTCAGAATCAGACATTGAGGATGTGAAAGATAAAAATAATGAAAAAAGAGGAGCAGAATTGAAGTACGTAAGTACATTTTATTCCTGAAGTTATTGTCCCATGTCTTGCTGATCACCAAGACAATCCAGACATAACAACAAGGTTGTAACATTTAACAAAGAAGTAAACCTGTTAAATACAATTCACTTATTTCTAAATAAACATGTATCTGTACTCCCAAGTCAATAAGAAGCATTTATTGATAATTAGAGATGTAGTAAATACTTGACAGAGATGTAGTGAATACTTTCTCCCCCATTTACCATGTTTTTACCCAAGAAGCCTGGAGGGAGGAAGAAGTTGCAGCAATACCATTTTTCAGTTGTCTTTGATCAGGGTATTTCTGAGACCGAAAGAGGAGAAAAAGAAGCAATAAGGTGATGGAGTTAGATGGGAGGGACAGAAGCAGGGATAGGAGTAAGAAGTAAAAGTAAAACATGTGTCCAATTTATACAAATGCATTGATATACCATATATACTCATGTATAAGTTGACTCGTGTCTAAAGTCGGACAGGCTTGGGGGAACAAAGTATGATATGATCCTGTGAATAAGTCGATTTTTAGCTCCTGCTGCTTCCCTGCCCTGCCATTCAAAAAGGTTAGAAGCAGCACTATGATGAAAGGAGTAGAGGGAATTGGTACTTCCTTTAGTTTCTCCCTGGATGGACCAAGCTCTTTACTTTAGCTACGCTACTCAGAGAAGGAAATAGTTCTTTTCTTTTTTTTAACAAGAATTAAGACACAATACTCACTGAGCCAAAAGGGGCCCCTGGTGATGCAGCAGATTAAACCAATGAGCTGCTGAACTTCCTGGCAGAAAGGTTGGGGATTTGAATCCGAGGAGTGGGGTGAGCTCCCACTGTTAGAGCTTCTGCCAACCTAGCAGTTCAAAGACATGCAGATGTGAGCAGAACAATAGGTACTCCTTTGGCAGGAAGGTAACAGCGCTCCATTCAGTCATGCCAGCCACATGACCTTGGAAATGTCCACACAAATTACTTTTGCCTTTGGTGCTATCTTTCTTACTCAGTTCAAAATGCGGGTCCCTTCTTTCCCCCTTGACGGGTATCTCACCCACCCCAATTTAGAATCATTACATATTATAGAACAATCTTGCTCATCATGATGCCCATTGAAAATAAAATAATTGTGTGCTTTTTTATTAATGTTTAGTATTTCAGATCTATAACTTGACTGGAATGAGTAACTCTTTTAGCTGGCAAGCCAGAAACAAGCTAGTGTGTATTAGTTGCCCTCTGGCTGCCTTGGCAAATGTCTTATCAAACTATTGGGAATAATCAGTTGAGTCAGGTCAGGAGGAGGGATGCTTTCAAAAGATAATGTAGTAATAATTTGTCTTAACCTTTTAATTTATAAATGAAGGTGTGACCTAATGGTAATTTCACTTGTCTGTCACGACTTTGATTATTCATTAAGGCGCTGTGCCCTTCATCTCTCCCCACAACCCACTCTTTCCATGGTTTGAAAAAAGTTCAAGCGGAATCATTCTGGTTGACTTCCAAAAGGATTTGGCTTCTTGTCAACTTTTCTACATGCTTGAGATCTCTGTTTAAATGTTATGCCTCACTTAGGCGTTACTTTCTTTAAAATAAGCTATGGGATTCCTTGGGAATGGTATATTGGCATGTCTTCTGAATCCTTGAGTACCTTTCTGTGATGAATTGATTAATATATTAATAGCATAAGATACTTGTTGTATTAAAAGATGTTTTCCTTAAAAAAAAATATCCCTTTGTGCCATCTCCTTTTTTCTGCTGTGAATTTACGGTGTTCTTCAGGATTCTTGTCCATCCCTCTTTCATATCTTTGGCTCCATAAACTTAATGTACTCTAATAACCCTGTATAAACAATAAATTCACAATAATAACACAGAGGACTTTAAAATAGTAAGTAACACTACACATGGTGACAATTGACATAATTGCAAAGGAAATGTATCATTGCAATGCTTACTCTAAAAGAAGAACAATCAGATGAATAGAGCAATCCCAATTCACAAAAATATCCACATTTGTGGACTTAACTTTTGTGTAGTTGATTATTTATAGATTTGATTAATATGTTCCCTCTAGGAATCTCTAGGTCCTCCAGTGCCTTTCTATAGTCAAGTTGATTATGGAGTTGAGTGGAAGATCTAGAGATTTCTATAGAGTGTTTTTTAATTTGTAGGTTTTTTTTGCAGGAGATATGCCACTAACCCAGGCATGGGCAAACCAGTAGGCTGTTAGAAATTGTGGGAGTTGAAGTCCAAAACACCTGGAGGGCCAAAGTTTGCCCATGCCGGCACTGTACCTGTCTATTTTGTCTGCTGACTTCAGAGCAATGCTTCCAGAGCTATTGCTGACCTTCGGAATGACTGGACAATGCGATTGAGTAACGATTTTAGTAATGAGATGCTGAGGACTTATACTTTTATCGGTTTTATTATATTTTATCTAATGTTACTTATGCTAAATGTTTTAATTGTTTTTATGTTATTGCAGGCATCGAATTTTGCCTTTTGTAAACTTCCCTGAGTTGCCCTTGGGCTGAGAAAGCCAGTATATAAATATGGTTAAAATAATAATGATAATAATAATAATAATAATAATTGGCGCTGACAAAATTACCATCTGCCAGCTGCAGAAGGCCACCTTACTGGGATCTGCACGCATTATTCGCCAATACATCACACAGTCCGAGACACTTGGGAAGTGTCCGACGTGTGATTCAATTCAACAGCCAGCAGAGTGTCTGCTGTGGACTCATCTTGTTGTGTTTCAAATAATAATAATAATAATAATTAATAATAATAATAATAATAATAATAATAATAATATCTGGTAGCAGAACTGCTCAGATATCTAAAATTTGCTGTCAGAAGAACCCCAGGACAAATACTGAACTTAGTTTCCTATTCCCACCTCCATCCATGTTTATTCCTTTTTCTCTTTGGCAGCCTGGGGGACAAAACTGCAAGTGTGCTCTGCAGCTCTATTTGGCTGGATGATATTCAGGGTTTGGGTACAGAATTATTCAGAACAGATAAGAAACCAGATCCTGCCAATTGGCAATACAAGTCACTGTACCGAGGGAACATTGCAAGGTAATGTAACTTACAGGTATGAAATTTGATTGCAGTAATGGTCTGGTAAAGTTCTTTGTGGTAACTGATTGAATCCTGAGCTGGAGCATGAATTATTTGTTTGTAGCTTCCTGTGCTCAGTTCCTATAGTGCTCAGTCTTCCTCTGCTTTCTTTGCTTGCCATTAGTTGGATGCAGGCGCACAACCATTATCTTATCCATTTAATCCATGCACATATGTAAATCCAGGCATATGCTGCCTACAATAGATGGAGTCTTTTGCTTCCAACAGGACAAACTGTGCTCTGCATTCTAAGACCAAGTGAAAAAACAACTACAGTCTTGCTATTGCATATATTTAACACTATGAAACAGTAGCTCTGTGATTCAGATGTTCAAAAAGGAGATATAGATATTTACTATTCTGTACTTGATTGACTACAACTTCATTCCTCTTATTAATCTGTTTATAGAGGAGAAAATAGATTGTTATTTTGCTTTTGGAATTGCCCACGAAACAGAAAGAACCAAAATAAACTGCTGATTGTTTGAGATTTTAATAGAGTTTTGACTGTTACAGAAAATGTGTTTTTTAAATTAAAAAAAAACAAATTGCACAGTTTCCTTGTACATTGTGTGATCCCCTGAGAATTTTATAGTTTATCCTGTGTGAGCTTCAGTGATGCTGAGAATCCAGCTGGCATGTGGAAAGACATTTGCTCCCAAATGTCTGAATTGCACCCAGTGAGCAGAATTCACTCCTCACCACCTGCGTCCCATTTTAAGTCCTGAAATTTCTGCAGTTGCAAAGCCAGCAGTCTGCACCTGATGATTCTAGTGATGCAGGGTTCATTGAGTTCACAGAGCTTAATTTGGCCTTCAGCCTCGTCCAAGTACTCATCAGTAAGTCACATACAATTCACAGCTGTAAGTGAAATAATACAATTGCTGTGTTTTGCTTGGAGGTTTGCTTTGTACACTTGCACAGCATTGCTGTTTCCATGTTTGCTCTGCTTTTGTTGTTGTTGGCTGCCTTTCAGTCAACTTCTACTTATGGCGAGAGACCTCCAGGTTACCCTATCCCAGTGGTTCTCAACTTGTGGGTTCCCGAGATGGTTTGGCCTACAACTCCCAGACATTCCTGCCAGTTTACCAGCTGTTAAGATTTCTGGGAGTTGAAGGTCAAAACATCTGAGGATCTACAGGTTGAGAACCACTGCGACCTATCCTCAGCAGTCATGCTTAAGTCTTGCAGATTCAGGGCTATGTCTTCTCTGATTAAATCTATCCATCTGGAGCTGCCCTTTCAACCAAAAATGACAACTAGAAACAGCATTGCCACTTAGCCCTCAGGCATTTACCCATCTTTTCCAGCAAAGAAACAATATTGATCCCCTTCATCAGATAGCATGGGAAGCATTGGGTTGAGAGACAAATGACTGGCAAATACTAGTTATCTACCTCAGTGCTGGCTTCTGAGACTGTGTGCCCTTAGAATGAAGTACTGTTGAACTTGGTGAGATGTGCTTTGTGAATTCACATTTTAGAATTGTACTGAAAGAGAAATAAACATTCTCACTAGATTGCTCTAAATCATTTGTGGAGAAATACAAAATGGTATCACTGAGTTGGTAAGCCTGATGTTACTGAAAAATATATGTGTTTTTCCTCTTTTTCCCCTACCTTGGAAACTCAGTTTTAACTATTATTTTTAAAGATACAAGAGGAGAAGTAACCTCTGCCTTGGCATTGATCTGAAGAGACAACATATAATTTGGGAGAGCTCAGCAACAGAGAAAAAGTCCTCTTGTAAGAGGACAGAGCGTTACTTCACGAAAGGTGGCCTCAAGCTCCTGAAGGTGGATGGCATTCCTATCACTAGTCAAAGTCAAAACTCTACTCCTGGTTCAGCTACTTGGATACCAGTTTTGCAAAGGGACACAGATGATATTCCTACTACAAGCTATGTGAATCCTCTTGGGATCTATGATCCGCTGACCACTTTATGGCTACAAGGAAAAGGCCCGCCTGAGGATGACTCACTAAAGCAGCAGGAAAATCAAGAAAAGTCTGAGAGTGGAACTTCTCACATAATGACAAAACTGGAAGAGCACAACAGGATGGTTAGAGAAAATCCCAGAGATGTCAAAGCATGGATGGATTTCGTTTCGTTTCAGGTATGTGCAGACTGGAGGTTTGGAGGGTTCTGGGACGTGACGAGGAAACATGCCCCAAAATGGTGATCTGAATAACATCAGTTGGGATAAAAGTAATCTGTCCAGTCAGTACATATTCTCCTTTGTTCGTTAATTCATTCATTCATTAGAGGCTGATGAAGTATAGTGGTTTGAGGACTGAAATTTCACTCTAGAGAACAGTTCTGCCATGAAAGCCCAGTAGGTGACTTTGGGCAAGTCACACTCTTCCAGCCTCAGAGGAAGGAAAAGGACCCCACCCACCCGAACAAATCTTACTGAGAAACTCCTGTAAAATGATTGGTTGTTGCTATTTATTTGTTGAGTCGCTTTTGACCCTTCGTGACCTCATGAACCAGCCCACGCCAGAGCTCCTTGTCAGCTGTCACCACCCTCAGCTTCTTCAAGGCCAATGCAGACACTTCAATGATAACATCCATCTTGGCCTTGGTCCGCCCCTCTTCCTTTTTCCTTCCTTTTTCCCCAGCATCATTATCTTCTCCAAGCTTTCCCATCTTCTCGTTATGTGTACTTCATCTTTGCCTCTAATATCCTTCCCTCCAGTGATTAAAAGCATGCAACAAAAACATTTGTTTGTTAGCTCTTGACCTATCTGGACCCTAAGGCAATACTCGATAAAATCGTAGAATCATAGAGTTGGAAGAGACCAAAAAAGGTCATCTAGTCTAACCCCCTGCCTGAAAGCACTCTTGACAGATGGCTATTCAGCCTCTGCTTAAAAACCTCCAGAGAAAGGGACTCCACCACACTCCAAGGAGGAAGCATATTCCACTGCCAAAAGTTTGTAAAACATTAAAATAGAAAATTAAAAATTAATTAAATAACTAAAAAGCAGTTTAATAGTAGAGTCTAAAAACAGACAATCAGTTCAAAAAACAACACCATGGCAGGCCATCCCTAATACTACGTGCCAAAGTATATATGAAGCAAGTCTTCATTCCCCACAGGAGACTCAGAAGGGATGGAGCAGATTGACAGTCCTTAAGAGGGAGTTGCACAGTCTTATTTGTCTAGCACAGTGGTTCTCAACCTGGGGTCCCCAGATGTTTTTGGCCTACAACTCCCAGAAATCCCACCCAGTTTATCAGCTGTTAGGATTTCTGAGAGTTGAAGGCCAAAAACATCTGGGGACCCTAGGTTAAGAACCACTGGTATCATGTGGTGCGATATGTAAAAGTGCTCATAATCTCAGATTTGGGGCAAGCTTATATAGAAGGAAGTGGTCTTTCAGACATCCTGACTCTACATTTTGTTTAAGGTTTTCTAGGTCAAGACAACATCTGGTATTTAAAGACATAGCCACATTAATCTGAGTATTTTAAAAAGGTATAAGGGAACCCTGTAGTACAGTAGTTCTCAACCTGTGGTCCCCAGATGTTTTTGGCCTTCAACTCCCAGAAATCCTAACAGCTGGTAAACTGGCAGGGATTTCTGGGAGTTGCAGTTGTCAACCCCAGGTTGAGAACCACTGCTGTAGTAGCTTAGAGACTAACTGAGAAGCATAAGTTTCTAGTATAATGTTTTTGTGGATATTTGGTGAAGACTCGATTTAAAGCCGTTTATTGAAGAAATGTCTTTTTCTCAGTCAGTTGCACTACAGGATTCCTTTACACCAGTATCTTTTCAACATCTGGAAAGATATATAATCTCCACCCCTGATTTGAACAATCGTATGTATCACACAAAATTGTCATATACTTAATGTAAAATACTATACAACATTCTTTTTTTTAAAAAAACATTGTTTGTTTTTGCTTTTTGTCTTTTCAGATTTATTCATTTTCAAATATGATCTTTTCTAAAAGTTAGTTGATGGAGCCACCTGTGAAAATTTTAATTGATTTTAATTGATATTTTAATGCTATGTTTTTAATGGGATTGTTTTTTGTTTATTTACCAATGTATTTACTGATGTTTTAATATATGGCATGGAAGTGTTGCCTTCGGGGTTGAGAGGGGTGGGATATAAATGTGGTAAACGAATAAATAAATAAAATTTCAAGAGACCATAAACTCCAGGGCATCTCTTTTAAAATGGATTTCTCTTCTTTTAAAGGATGAACTCATGAGAGGTCCCAGCTGTTTTACAATGAGTGAAGGAGAACGGGAGACAAGAAAGAAGTCACTCAAACTAGTCCTGGAGAAGAAGCTTGCAATTCTGGAGAGAGCCATTGAAAACAACCCAAACAGTGTTGACCTGAAACTGGCCAGGTTGAAGCTTTGCATGGAATTTTGGGAGCCTTCAGCTGTGATAAAAGAATGGCAGAAATTGGTTTTCTTGCACCCGAACGACCCACTGCTGTGGCAGAAATATCTCTTGTTCTGCCAGAGTCAGTTCAGCACCTTTGTGGTTTCAAAGGTTCATAGTTTGTACGGCAAATGCCTGAGCACTTTGTCGGCGGTCCAAGATGGCAGTATGGTGTCACACCCAGCATTGCCAGGCACAGAGGAAGCCATGCTAGGTAAGAGCACCATCTTTCATTTTGTTTGCCTGTCTACCTTTCTGAAAGACATTCCTTGATTTCCTTCTTTTATTATCAGTGCACAGAGAAATGTATTTAACAACTACCCTATATACTCATCTAGAAGTTTACTTCAGAAAATCAACCCCTCAAAAACTGGGTCAACTTCTCCACAGTACTCAGTGTGAATACTGTATCTTAACTCTTATCAAAAAGGGAACCATCCCCTTTTTTGAGTAGAGTGACAAAAGTCAAGAGCTTAGTCTGTCTTAAGAGAACTTAAAAGAAGCACTGACCCTTTCTGCTCTCTGCATAGTGACACTTCTGACCTTTTCATATTCTTGGGTGCAGAAATGGCAGCAGCAGCGGCCAGAGTCGACTGACCCCAATGCTTCTCCCTCTCTGGAATGACCCTCAACTTACTTTGGTCCAAAAACCTGCCTTCAACTTATACATGAGATTGACTGATACATACAGTAGTTAAAGTTAGATCCCAACTTTATTTGACTCTGGGAAACATACATGATTCTCCTATGGCTTCACAATAATTTGTGAATATAGCATACTTTGACCTGAAATAATTGACCCAGGATGCCTCAGTGAGCTTTATGGCCTTGAATCTGAATTTCTCATCTCAATTCTGTTATCTGAGGCCCCTTCTACACTGCCCTGTATCCCAGGATCTGATCCCAGATTATCTTCTTATCCCAGATTATCTGGCAGTGGAGACTCATATAATTCAGTTCAAAGCAGATAACCTGGGATCAGATCCTGGGATATAAGGATAGTGTAGAAGGGGCCATAATCTCTACGCTCCACTGGAATCTGTTTCTTAGAGGCAAAAGGGAGTGCTACATCAAGCCTCCTCTATTTCGTGTTTTGTCTGTTTGTAATGTGCCGTTTATTTCCAGAAGTGTATGTCTTCTTTGGTTTGAAGTTTTTCTTAGCTCTATAGACTTGAGGCAGTGGGAGGGGCTGCAGACCATGTGACTGGTTCAGTGACTGTTTAGAATGCAGTTTAAAAGGAAGACAGTTGGGGAATAATAGTTGAGGCTTGAGTCAGTTTGAGTACAGAAGTCAGTATTGGAAGTTAGAAGATAGTTGAGACTTGAGTCAGTTTGAGTACAGAAGTCAGTGTTAGGGTCCTTCCACACAGTTCTATATTCCAGAATATTAATGCAGAAAATCCCACAATATCTGCTTTGAACTGGGTTATCTAAGTCCACATTCAGAGAATGTTGGATTTTCTGCCTTGATATTCTGGGATAGAGGGCTGTGTGGAAGGGCCCTTAGAAGTTAGAAGTCAGTTGAGGCTTGAGTTCCTTTGGAAGTAGACTGTTATTAAAAAGAACTGTACAGAGCAATATATGAGGAAATTGATGAAGACTATAATCTAAAGATACAAACTGAGACGTTTTAAAGTTTTACCTGACAAGAATTGTACCTGTATGTTTAAATACACGAAGTTGTAAGTAAAACTACCATGTTATTTTAAAGAAGTCTACTTGTATCTTTGTCTGTTGAGAGTAGAATAGAAACAAGGTATTTACGTGCCCAGTGATCATCCATTACCCAACAAACTAAAGGAACTCTTCTGAAACTCTGCTACCCCATAGGTTATGACCCTAACACAGTGGTTCTCAACCTTTTTAATGCCACGACCCCTTAATACAGTTCCTCACGTTGTGGTGACCCCCAACCATAAAATTATTTTTGTTGCTACTTCATAATTGTAATTTTTGCTACTGTTATGACTCATAAGGTAAATATCTGATATGCAGGATGTATTTTCATTGTTACAAATTGAACATAATTAAAGCATAGTGATTAATCACAAAAACAATATGTTTGGGGGAGTATGGACAATGGATGATGGGATTTGCAATACTTTCAACCGATACAGCTCTGTCTTCCACAGATCACTGCCATCCCCCCCCCCCCCAAATGAATGACAGATCTGGACCAGATTTGGCAAAAAGAACCTCAATGACCAACAGAAAATACTGGCGGGGGGGGGGGTTGGGAGGAATTCACAGTGATTTAATAATAATAGGATCCTAGACTTGCAAGAGACCTCCAAAAGCCATCCAGTCCAACCCCCTCCTGTCATAAAGGAACACAATTAAAGCCCTCTCAACAAATGGCCACTCAGCCTCTGCTTAACAACAATAGAATCGTAAGGTGGGAGAGACATCCAAAGGCTATCCAATCCAACCTCATTCTTGCATAAGGGAATGCACAATGAAAGCACTCTTGACAGATGGCCAGTCTGCTTCTGCTTAATGATGATGATGATAATAATCGTAATAATAGAATCCTAAAGTGGGAAGAGACTTCCATGGGCCATTCAGTCTAACCCCCTTCTGCCATAAGGGAAAGACACAATCAAAGTACACCTGACAGATGGTCAGTCTGCCTCTGCTTGATGATGATAATAGAAGGAAGGGTGGGAGGAAGGGAGGAAGAGGAAAGGGAGGGAGGAAAAGATGGAAAGGAAGGAGGGACAGGAAGGATGGAAAAAGGGAGGGAGGGAAGGAAGGAGGGAAAGTAGGAAAGGAAGGAGAGAAGGGAGGAGGGAGGGAAGGAAAGGGAGGAAGAAGGAAATGAAGGGAGGGAAGGAGGGAAAGAAGGAAAGGAAGAAGGAGGGACAGGAAGGAAGGAAAAAGGAAGGAAGGGAAAGAAGGGAGGGAGGGAAAGAAGGAAAGGAAGAGGGACAGGAAGGAGAGAAGGAGGAAAGGAAGGAGGGGAAGGAGGAAGGAAGGAAGGAGAAGGAAGAAAGAAGGAAGGAGAAGGAAGGGAAAGGAAAGAAGGGAAGGAAGGAAAGGGAGGAAGAAGGAATGGAATGAAGAGAGGGAAGCAAGGTCCTTCACTCGGAAGCACCGTCCTCTCGCGTGAAGCTGCCTCCCGGTCTGGCTGTTAATAGGAGAGGGGGGGGAGGAGTGTGTGTGTGTGAGCGTGCTTTGCCGGGGGCAGCCAAGCAAATCAGGGAGAAGAGGGAGGAAACAAAGGAGTTGGAGGAGAAGGAAGGGAGCAGGACTTCAAAACTAAAATTTATTTCTGCCTCTTTCTTTTCTCCCTTCCTGCAGTGAAGGGAGGGAGGCAAGAGTTTGAGAAAAGGGGTGCAATCTCTCTCCCGCCCCCCCCCTCCTGCCTGCTGCTTCCTCCGGGACAAGGAGGAAGAGGAGGAGGAGGCGAGGAAAGCCGGGGAATGGGGAAGCTGAAAAGAAAGAAGGCTGCTTCTGATGGCAGCAGGTGGCGGAGGGACTTTAGGAGCCCTTCAACCAGCGCCAGTCCCTTCTTCTCTCCGCTGCAGCTGCAGGGTGCTTTCCCATCTCGCGCCAGGCAAAGGATAGGCCACTCACTAGGCCTCGCCTTCCCTTGCCTGGCCACTGGTAGGAAAGAAGCCTTGCAGCCCTCGGGCAACTAAGGCTGCAGTGCCCACCCGCCAAACAGGCGGGAAGGCATCCCGTGGCAACGGTAGACAGAACAAGGGGCTGGGTGAGCGAGGCCTGCTCGGAAAGCACCTCCTGCCTGCTTCGCGCCAAGCCCACCAAAGCCGAGAGCTGCATGGCTCCCTTCCCGCTGGTGCCCCGGCAAGGGAAGGCGAGGCCTGGTGAGCACGAGGAATGGCAGGCAAGCCATCCCCCAAGGGGCCACTGGGGGGGGGGGCTTGCTGGGAGGCCAGAAGACACGTCACACTCCCTCCCCCAAGCCCCATGTGCGGACTAAGGGACGTCCTTCTCTTTCAGGCATGGGTGTTTGCTGGCTCTTTGGCTGCCAGAGGTTGCCCGGCAGCCATTCCAGGGACACAAAGGGGGCGGGGCCAAACGAGGCAGTCCCGCGACCCCTCAAAATTTGCCAGGCGACCCCTCGGGGGGTCGCGACCCCCAGGTTGAGAACCACTGCCCTAATAGGTCATAATTCCCAATAGGTTGTGATCCTAACAGGTCATAATCCAAATCCCAAAGGAGAGAATGCTTCTGGAACATGGCCATACATCCCGGAAAACTCACGGCAGCCCATATCCCAATACATACTGCAGATGTTCATTTATTAATTTTGTTGACAGAAGATCTGGTGGTGATCGCTTAGATGGTGGAGAATAAACACAGATGTTTTGGCCTACAACTCCAGGAATCCCAGCCAGTTTACCAGCTGTTAAGGTTTCTGGGAGCTGAAGGCCAAAAACATCTGGGGACCCCAGGTTGAGAACCACTGGCTTAGATGGTGGAGAATAAACACATACATTCAGAAATGATCTTATCCAAGGCTGGTCATCTTTGTTATTTCTGAGGCATTGTACCAGTGGATATCGGTTTTTGCAGAGGATGCTTGGAGTCTTGCAGAGGAATATGGATGAGAAAGTGGATGCTGGATTGTTGGACCAGATCAAAGGCCTGTCAAGTCCATCAAATCAATCCCACAGTGGCAAAGAGATACCTACAAGCTGAACATGGGCACAATAGGAGTTGCTTTCTCCTGTTCCTCTACCTCTGATATCCTTATCCTTTACAAATAGGTCAAACCCCTTTTACTTCTTGACTGATTTTCTTGAACATATCTTCAAATGCAGGTTTATCTCAGTTAACAAAGTATCTATGTTTCTTGGCATTCTTTCTCTCATTTTTTCTCAGTGTGATTTGTCTTTACTTTCTTCCTGCCAAGATCTTATGCCAAGATGTGGTGATAGCAATCATACCACATTCTCTGCACTGGGAGTGATTAGATTCTTGTTTCACACCCAGTGAAGAGGGTCAGGATGGAGTGCCCACTCACATAAGAGGCTGCCATTTCCTTTCTCAGTGTGAATCAGTGCTCTTGGCTCTCCTCTTTCTATGAAGGAAAGCATGTCAGACTTGAGTCATAATCACAAAATATAGAACTGGGGCTGTTAGATGTGTACCATAATCATACATCCCTCTCTGCATTCTGCGCATAATAACTTTTAAACGTGAAAAGTTAAGGAAATTAGTGCTTGGGGCCTGTGGTTATCATGTTCTTGGACATCAATAAACCCAAAAAATGTTTTGATGTAAAATAATCACATGTAGGTTTCCAGACAGGCAGGCAAATCAAATTAGAAAGGAAAGATTCCTTACTTCTCCAGAATTGAAATATGAATCTCTTTTGCATTTGAGTGAGATGTGCCTCCCAACAATTGAAGCTGTGCAAATACTTTCTCAAAAGGGTCTACATTGTCCCTTGCTTTTATTTCGATATGTGAAAGCTATGGAAAAAAATTAGAAACACGCTATAAGAATTTTAAACAGAAAAAAGATGATACTTTCTTTAAAAATGATGAATAAAATGTGACCAAAAAGTATTAATATATTTTTAATATCATTGTTGTTTCTGGTGTCTTTCTTCAGTTCTTTTTATGGGAATGGGAGAGCACTAAACAGTTGTCAGTAGTTGAATACTTCTTTCTAAAAGCTGCTTGTGCATCAGTAATTGTGTTGTTTGATTCCAGAAAGGAAGAGACTCTCTTGCACAAATATTGTACGTAGAGTTTTCCCATGATTGAGAGCAAACCGCTGGTAGGACCTTTTTTGTAAATTGGTGACACAATGGCTTGTTTCCAGCTAGCTGACATTTTGTCAGTGAGGTATATCTTTGTAAACAGGGCTGCTAGTATGGGTGCCCACCAGTGTTGATTGGTTTTGATGAGTTCAGCGGGAACATGGCCAATGCCTGGCTTTTTCCATTCTTAAGCTGGTGAATTAGGTCGATTATGGTGTCAACAGAAAGTGGATCCCACACAGGCAAGGCGTGAAAATTAGCATCCTGGTCCAGTTCTGGGTCTGGATTAAGGCAGCTGGTATTCGTAAAGAGATATCTAAAATGATCTTCCCATACCTGGGCTGGGATTACACAGCTTGGGGCTGTATGCGGGGATTACAGAGCTCCTGATACAAGTTGCCAGAAGTTTTTATCATTATTATCCAACGAGGCATTGATTAATAGCACCCAGATGTTGTGATCATGTTGCTGTTTCTTCCTTAGAAGAGTCTAGTAGTCCCTTTTTAATTGGAACAAGGAGGGGTGGGTATTTTGAGTCTGTAGCCAATATAGGTGTCTCTTAAGGCTTTTTTCATCATCTGGAATTTCTTGTCGAACCAGATGGGCCCAGTAGGCCAGGGGTTTATATGTTGGAGGTGGCCAAGCTTGGGGACAAAAGTTAGGTCTTCTTGTAGTAGAATGATTAGCTTGTCATAAGCTCTCAGAGTAGATTCCACTGGTCAATCTGAGAGAATTACTGATCTTATACTTGATGCTGGCTTTGATTTAAGTCTGGCAATTTTTATTTTATTCATTTATATCCAGCATTTCTCCTGATAATTGGACTCAAGTCAGCTAACAACGTATTTAAAACAATGCAAATTTTAAAATATACAAAAGTATGAATAAAAGCCATCATACCCTGTTATGCCCCACCTTGACCCTTAAAGTGAAGCAGGTAATAAATAAATGTATTATTATTATTATTATTATTATTATTATTATTATTATTATTATTTATTACTATTATTATCATTTCCGCCACCACCCATGGACCAAAAGGTCAAACAGCTTCCCTCCTCTTTCAATAATTCTCCAGATTTGTATTTATCTGTTTCAAGAAAGGATCTCTGTTTGACAGGTTGAAGGAGCATTTTTATTCTCCTGGGATCCCCGGGGGTTGTTAAATTTCCAAAAACATCTGCCGTCCCAAACCCTGTGAGTGACTTAAAGTCCACCTTTAAGTGTTTTATTTTTAAAAAGCTTTGTGTTACAGAGGATGTGGGGGTGAACCACTGTTTCTGGAGGTTTTTTTTTGGAAAGGTGATAGCAGTGACTCCTCTTCTTTTTCTTTTTGGCAATAAATAGAGCTGCTGCGGGGAAATGGGAATTACAAGCACTGTGTTGACAGATTGTGCTTTGCCTGCTCCTCTCCTTTTTCCACCAGGATTTTTAGATCCTTGCACACTTCCTTGGGCTTTGACCTGCTAGTAGCAGAGCAAAACGAGAGGTGAGCTTGAAAGAGGATGACAGAATAACCTTTATATCATAAGAAGGGTGTAAAAAGCCCTGTGTGCTTCAGTGGTGTCTCTAAAAATCCTTCCTTCAAGGTCATGCACTCTAGTGTCCTTTTCAGTCTGATTTTTCGCACGTTCAATCTCAAGTTTCTTTAAAAGGTTTCTTACTTTCTGGTGCTACCACTCTTTTTTTCTTCCCCAGCACAGCTGGAAATGAGCATATGCCAGTGTTGCTGGAAAGGCATATAACCTGGGCATTTTCTGGATAATTGATAGGTTTAATCCTCCTGACTGCCTTACTGCTTTCTTCCATAGTTCAGATACTGCCCTACTTCTAGCAACCATAAATGGAGTTGGTGGTAGGAAGGATGAAATGTTAGCAGAATAGCAACTGCACTTGGCTAGTATTTGGACACTCTCAGAGTGTGGGATAAATTATTTTCTTTCACACCAGAAATCTCTCGTGCTGGATGCGTGAGTTTTGTTACAAAAAAAGTAATAGTTCCAGGAACAAAGATTATCCATCCTGTCCTATCCCCCCATATTTTTGTTTTGTGATTCACCGCTTAGTGCAACCATACTCAGCTTTGTGGTGTTTTGTGAGCACTGGAGCGAATTAATTTTGACATGGGTATAAAAATAAATCCTCATGTTGGAAATCTCACTATTGGCTTGAGGATTTCTGAATGCCCATTTTTTAAACCATATCTTTACATTTGGCTAGATTTGACCTGATAGTGCTCCATTTACTTATTAAGAAATATATACAATTGTCAGTTGTTTATAACTATATCAGATTTCTAGCCTCTTAGAAGATACATAGAATAAACAGGCTGCAGATGAGAGTCCTTGATCAGGGCTAGAGGTTGACTGTGAGCTGTAATATACTGAAGGCTCCCACCCTCTAGTGTTCAATTCTTGCATTTCTTGACACTGATAATTCTGTCAAAGCAGGAAACTTTAGACATTGGGTGGCCCTGAAGGCCACTCTAGTCCCCTTCATCAAAGCAGGATGTTCACTCTAGTGTAGTATTCCTAGCCAGTTTTATGGAATGCGGCATGCCATAGCTGTAGTTCAGTGACAGATTTGATTCAGCCCTAGAAATAGTATTTTTTGAAGTACAGTTCCCAAGAAGGCCATTAGCCATTCTGAGAATAATTCTGAGAATTATATTTGAAAAAGTATTTTTTTTCTGGTTGCTCCACAAATCATGCCCCATGATGACTGATTTCTTAACCTGTTAGCTCATTCTGATATTTAATATTTGTGTCTTTTCCCTAGTTTTGAATGATTCTGTGAAATAGCTTGAAGCTTCCCATGTCATTTATAATTGTACCAATAAAAATGAAAACAATGGATTTGAGTCATCAATCTCTCACACCCTCTATATGATTATTTTCTTTTTCTTTCTTCTCAGCTATCTTTCTCCAGCAGTGCCATTTTCTTAGGCAAGCTGGCCATTCAGAGAAAGCAGTAGCTTTGTTCCAGGCCCTGATTGACTTTACATTTTTTAAGCCAGATAGTGTCAAGGAGTTGCTGACAAGGGGACAGGTAAGGAAATCATTCTATGACATTTCCTTTTCATATCTTAGTTCTTCTAATTTTTTAACCTTCCTCTCTCTCAACAACTTCATGAAACAAAATGGAAAAGTACAAATGTAAATCTCAGTTTTCATGAATAAAACAAATTATGCAAATTGCATAAAGAATATATCATTGGTGTGTATTGATACATGGAACCCCCAGTGTCTCAGCGGGTTAAACCACTGAGCTAAACTTGCTGATCAAAAGATCAGCGGTTCAAATTTGGGGAGCAGAGTGAACTCCTGCTGATAGACCCAGCTTCTGCTAACCAATGCTTTCAAGTATTGTTATTTCAGGTTTGTTCAAGAGCCTTATTTCAATTAAGAAAACCAAGAGATGAAATTGGGTAATCTCCCTTACCAGCCACTCTCCTCCAGAATGCATGCCGCCTTGTATTAACCACATCTGAATGTTGTATCAGCACCCAATGTTTTTACCACATGTCAGTGATTTTCCATGTTTTTATTGAAACCAACTACAGTGGGCCAGTGAAACACAAGGAGCATGAGTAGCAGTGGCAGCCTGGCTTCTGCCCCAGTCATCACATGGTGTAATAGAGGAAGATAACTGTTGGGGCATTTCTTGGATGATGTACAAGGCACATAGCACTTGCTAGCTTTCTTTCAGCTCTGATGCCAGGAGCAGGCAAAGTTTCCTTAAGTTTGTCCTTATAGCCTTTGGTTCCTCTGTTGATCTGTGCTTTCAGGTCAGTTCTGGCTTATGGTGACCTTCAGCCAAACAGAAAACAGGGGTTTTCTTGGCAAGATTGTCCAGAGGGAGGTTGTTGTTGGTTTCCTCTGAGGTCGAGAGATTGCTATTTGCCCAAGGCCACTCAGTGGGTTTCCATGGCAAGATGGGAATTTCAGAATTGTAGTTCAGCACTCAAACCACTATAGCACATTGCCTCTTTTGGTTCTTCTAGCTACCTGAGCTGCTCATTTTCTAGCCAAGGAGAGAAGGGTGGTGAGTTGTCTTTGCTGAAAGCAAATTGTCCATCCCAGCCACATGCATGGACAGAGAGTGTACAGCACAGGGCAGTAACACAAGAGCCTTTCTTATCTCATTGTGGAGCAATAAAGCTCAAAAAATGTTTCCTGCCTTTCTGGCATGCAGTTCGTAAGACGTAAGCCAAAACAATACAACCTCACCCACCCAATCCAAAAACAGTGTTTGTGTTCCCACCATTAGTGTGAACAAGAAAATTGTGGCTGATTTAGCAACAACCATTTTCCTGTGAGGGCACTTGAATCATTCACAGGGCAAAGTGTCCTCCGACAACTAGAGACAGCATCATTTGTTTGCTTCAGCCTTTGTTTCTTCTACATCCTGTGACGACTTATCTCAGGATGGATGACAGGCACATTCCTCTGAAGATCATTTACTGTTTTTCAGCTTCCTGCAGTTTCCATTTCACTGCTTGGAAATATAAACACTTACGCGTTCAAAGGGCCTTAGAGCTTGCTGTTCCAAGTCAACTATTGGTTTCTCAAGGCTCTTACTTTGCCACAGCCATTAGTTGCCTGTGGCTCAGGGCATGTTTCTCCAGAGTGAAATGCCCATAGACTGAAAAGTCCAGTGGTGGAGCCTTGAAATGATAGGGCACAGGCCATTTGTGTGACCCATAAATGAGCTGTGCTCCATCATTTCAAAGCTCCACCACTGAGCCTTATTCTAACCTTGTAAATGTAGACAGTGAACGCTTTGCTTAGCAATAAATAGCATTATAATTGAATTCAGCTTGTAGCAATAATCTTTTTGTGCATATTAGGACTGCTTTGTTATTTATAGGTTTGGATTCTGACAAGGCTAAATTTAAAATATATCAGTAGTAAGTATATTTTCATCTCCAAGTTAGAGCAACGAATGGGAGACCGAAAAAGGAAATGTCACAGGGATGTGTGTCTTTAACTGTAGTCATCCCTTCCCAATTCATTGTTGGTTCACCATGCTAAAGGCTAGATTCAATATAATGTTTCACAAAGACGGAAAGACTGAAAATTGTGCTTTATCTTTTATCTTTTTTTTTTTTTTTGCTGCTGTAGACCAGGGGTCCACAAACTTTTTGAACAGAGGGCCAGGTCACAGTCTCTCAAACTGTTGGTGGGCCAGATTATAATTTGAAAAAATATGAATGAATTCCTATGCACACTGCACATATCTTATTTTAGTGCAAAAACATTTAAAAACAATACAATAATTAAAATTAAGAACAATTTTAACAAATATAAACTTATTAGTATTGCAATGGAAAGTATGGGCTGTTGAGATAGGATTGTTGTTGTTATTGTGTGCTTTCAAGCAGTTTCATACTTAGGTTAACCCTGAGCGAGGGCCGGGTAAATGACCTTGGAGGGCCGCATCCGGCCCCCGGGCCTTAGTTTGAGGACCCCTGCTGTAGACTAATCAGTTTTACAGATGTTTTTTCCTCTTTCAGTTTTTAGCCTTCAATTAAACACACTTGTGTTTTCCTTTTGCAGCAAACATTGTTTCACTTAATGGCTGTTCGTGTTTCAGAATAAAATGCTATTTTCATGTTCAGAGTTTGTTAACAGTAGTGCAGTGTCAAACCATCCTTACATCATATGTCTCCATATCACCATGAGTTCATTAGCCTGGATTCGAGGAAAGTCTCACTCCTCAATCAGTATTATATTAATGATCATGGGGCTTCCATCTTTTCCTCCATCGTGGAGGAGATTGCAAGCATGTGCTTCACGTTTTTCCCTAGCAATATTTTTTCATTATAACTGAAAAACTTAAAAGAGCCATGGAAATTCGTATGGCTATTGCTGGGCTGCAACTCCCAGACCATCCAGCAGAGCCAGTGGTGAGGGATGTTGGGAGCTGCAATCTATCAATATCTGAAAGTCCACAAATTGTCCACCCCTGGCTTAGGCTTTTTTCTCCCTTTGAGGTATATTACTGTTAATATTAGTCCTTTGAACTAGAATCTTATTGAAGCATTTCTATAGATTTAATTTTTTTTTTTAAAATATCTTTATTGCAAAAATTTTCATCACACATATAAAACATCAGATGGTGGCGGACACATCGGGGAAGGGAAAGATACGGGAGGGTTGGTTGGGTGGGGAGGTGTGGAGGTTGTGAACGGGATTGGGCGTGGGGCGAAAGGGGGGAGGGTAGGTGGGGGAGGAATATAAAATACAACGACTTCCAGATTGAACAGGCAGGTAATCCTCTCTTATATAACAAACATATTAACTGATAAAACATCAGCTCTCATCCTATACTATTTTCAGTTTCTTCAAGTATTTTTATATCTTCTCATCAATGTAGTCCTTAAAGTTGCTCCAATCGGTGCTCTTCTTTTTACTTCCATGAGCTTTCAGTCTCTGAGTTAGAAGATCCATATTCATCACATCATAAGATTTTATTAACCATTGTTCTGTTGTGGGGACCTCTCTGGTTTTCCAGAGTCTAGCCAGTTGGATTCTGGCCGCTGTAGAAAGGTGAAAAAGAATCTTGCTTTCATTACTGTTTGCATCAAGATCATCATCTGTTAATCCTAAAAGGTAGTACTCGGGTTTTAGTGGGAATTTCTTTTTCAAGATTTTTTCTATTTCTTTGTGGATCGTACGCCAAAAGGTTTTTACTTTTTTGCATCCCCACCACATATGAAAAAAGGTGCCAACATTTCTTTTACATTTCCAACATTTCGCTTCCACTTTCCCTTTACTGAACTTGGCTAGTTGTTCCGGGGTCAAATACCATCTAAAAAACAGTTTATACCAGTTCTCTTTATAGTCGTTAGAATACATGCATTTTAATTTTTCAGACCAGATTATTTCCCATTCCTTAAAGTTAATTGGGCGTCCTATGTCCTTCGCCCACTTCACCATATTTTCTTTAACTTGATCTTTTTCTGTTTCCCATCTCAATAACACTTGGTATATTTTCCGTATGTGTTTTCCCTCCGAGTTTATAATCCCATCCCAGAAAGAGGTTCCTGTTTCAAAACCAGTTTTATGGTCTACATTGTAACTTTCTCTTATCTGGTGATATTGGAACCAGGAGAGTGTATGATCATACTTTTTTAGTTCTTCCTGAGATTTCAGATATGGGTTGTCTGGGGTACCTTTTATTATCTCTTTATAGGTCAACCATTTATCTCTACCAGCCCCTCTAATTTGACTGGCCTCATTTGGCGAGAACCAGAGTGGGACTTTTCCATGGAATTTATTCTTATATATTTCCCAGATTTTTATAAGGGGGGATCTTACAAAATGATTTTCAAAGTTTCTGTCTTTCTTTGCTTTTCCTCTCCATAGGTAGTTATGCCACCCTTGCATTATATCGTGTCCCTCCAGCGCTAACAGTTTTTTCTCCTTAAGACTGATCCATTCCTTAACCCAACATAAAGCTGATGCGTCGTGATAAAGTCGTAGGTTTGGGAGTGCTAGTCCTCCCCTACTTTTGTTGTCACATAAGTTGATGAAGCTTACTCTATGTTTCCCCCCTTTCCATATGAATTTTAGAATATCTCTGTGCCAACTATCAAACGTTTTCCTTGTTTTAATAATGGGTATGGTCTGAAACAGATAGAGCAGATCGGGTAGGACATTCATTTGTATTGCCGCTATTCTCCCTAACAAAGAGAGTTTTAGCGGCTCCCATCGCTTCAGTTTTTCTTTTATCAACTGCCATTTTTTTTCGTAATTATTCTTATAGAGTTGCGTGTTTTTGGCTGTTAATATAACTCCTAAGTATTTTACTTTCTCTACTATTTTAATTTCAGTTCTTTTTTGAAGCTCCTCTTCTTTCTTTTTAGTGATGTTCTTTGTTAGCATTTGCGTTTTTTCTTTATTTATTCTCAGTCCCGCCACTGATCCATATGATTCCAATTCTGACCACCACATTGAAACATTAAAATATGGCTGCACTTTTGTAGACAGAATGCTTTTCAGTTGATGAATATTATTAAGTCAGTTAAGCTTTGGAAATCTGTTTGAAATATACCTCAAGCGTCTGTCTTTCTTATAGTATTCCAGTTGCACCTTCATGTATAGTTCTGATAGATCTTCATTTTCATTTATTCTCAACTCTAGGTGGAGTTCTTTGAACCATTTTGGGACAGTGGTGAGGCTCGTATTGGAGAAAAGGGAGCAAAAGTTTGGAGGGCCTGGATGCATCAGCAAGAAAAGGGTGGCTGGATTGTTCTCAACCCACCTGGTAAATCTCTCCAGTATAAAACTTTGAGTCAAAGGAACATGTATATAAATATGTTTTATTCTTCATGTTAGTTTGGGCTCCTCTGGAAATTGTGCAGGATATTTTGCACACCTGTCACCATAACCAGTAACATCCAGCACAGTCCAAAAGGTCAAAGATATTAAGTTGGCAGTGTTCTTACTCTGTAGAATAAAAACTTAACAAGAGCAGTATCTCAAGTAAGAACAAAGAATTTATCCTCGTGTAAGAACAATATAGTCTGCTCATAAGATTCATGTTGAAAATAAATTATGAACTGGAGAATTTATGCTAAAACTATTATATGATATTCACATTTGATGTAAATTATTCAGTTAATTTCTGTATTTTTTCTGGTTTTTGTAGTCTTTCATTTTACATTCCATTTCTAAAACAACTTAAGTTATATTTTGGCTATGATCCAGAAGCTTATTATCCTCTCTGATGGTGATTTAAATATTATAACTTTTGATCTGAAAGCTGGTGTATGAGTTAGTTTAGTTTTACCAACCCAGGCTCTGACTCTAGGTTTTAAAAAGCTGTTGATATGCTTTTTTTGGGGGGGGGCAGATGAAGATGAGGAAGATGCAGAGGAGGAAGAAGAAATACAGAACAAATCTTTACCCAAGTGGCAAAATTGGCTTCATATTGAACGTTCTCGTGAAGCAAGGCACTGGTTGCCATGGCGGCCTGACAAAACCAAGAAAGAAACAGTAGACGATTGTGAAGATCCAGAGAGACAGGTCAGTGTGTTGACATAAGACCAAGTCCGGCATCCAGGGTTGCTTTCTGAAGCTATTAGGTGACCTGCCTTAAATGTGTGCAGGTATCTGAAGAATATTTACCCACATTTCCCAACAAGATGTGAAAGGAGTAATCTAGTAAGAAATGTGTCTTCAGTAAGAAGGGAATATTAGTTTGTGTTTACATTTCCGTATAGACTTAGGTCATTTTTCTGCTCAATCATTATATTCGTTCTTAGAGAAGAAGGTCTAACTGTCAGATTGCTGTGCTCTTTTCTACACTTCTTTTCTTCTATAATGTTTAAAAGCAATGCTTTTGGGTTTGGAACATTAAAAAATTATAGAACAAGAGGGTCTGCCACCAGGGGCAAACCAAGAATAGGCAACTTGGAAGTCCCTGAACAGACTCAGAAGTGGAGTGGGCAGATCAAAAGACAACCTGGCAAAATGGCGCTACTTCAAGAATCCTCCACCTTGTGCGACTGTGGAGCAGAACAGACCCCTCCGCATCTGTATGTTTGTCCGTAATGTCCTGCCTCGTATACAGAGGAAGAATTTTTTTGAGGCTTTTTTTGTTGCCTGTTTTTGGTCAAAAGATACTTAGCCGCTTGTGCTCCTTCTATTTTTATCAGTTTTTATACTAATTTATGCAGTGTTTTTAATATGAAATAAAATAAATAAATTGTTCTATAATGGCATCTTACGTTTGGTTTTTTGCAGGTCCTCTTTGATGACCTTGGTCCATCTTTGATAAAGATTTCCAACCCAGATCTCCACTTTCAACTACTTTGCTCATTTTTGCAATTCTTAGGAGTCCCTTGTAGCAATAGCCTCCTTCCTTCTTTCCTCTACTTAGCGCTGGATGAAAACAGCATATTTGACAAAGGACAGAACAGCCAAGGACCTCTGACTTCATTTGACTTGCCACTTTTGGGGGTCAGTTGCATTGGTCAGATGGACTCAGTGGCTCAAGGCAGAAACCACGTGGGCCACCCTAAGGAAGGGGAGGAGTTCATACAGAATTTCTTTCATATGATGCTGCCTCTATTTTCAGGGAAGAAGAGATCTGACCTGTCTGTTTTTTGGCTTCAGTATGAATTTTGTAAGGTAATAACTTTTTTATTTAAACATTCATATTTTGTATTCTACAAATAGCAACCATGTATATGAGTAGGAGGGGCCCCCGGTGGTTCGAATCCAGAGAGCTTCTACTGTCAGTCCCAGCTTCTGCCAACCTAGCAGTTTGAAAATATGCAAATGTGAGTAGATCAGTAGGTACCGCTCCGGCGGAAAGGTAACGGCGCTCCATGCAGTCATGCCGGCCTCATGACCTTGGGGATGTCTACGGACAATGCCGGCTCTTTGGTTTAATGGAGATGAGCACCACACCATAGAGTCGGACACGACTGGACTTAATGTCAGGGGAAAACCTTTACTTTTTTACCTATATGAGTAGGACATCTCACTGTTTCCATTTTTACTTCCAAATACATAGGGTAGATGCTTAGCTTGCGGAGGGTCCCCTATAAAACATTACTCCCATATCATCTCAAATAAATAATTAAGCCATGGATTTGCATGCACATTCATGTATGCCTTATTGCAACTCATGTGGTCAGGCAAATTATAACTTACAACACTCTCACAGGCACACAAGATGGGAAAGATGGTTTCCATGGGGTAACCATTGCTTATTTATTTGTTTAACATAATAATAATAATAAATAATAATACTTTATTTATATTCTGCCCTATCTCCCCTGGGTGACTCAGGGCAGATTCCAACAAACAAAAAGGCAATCATTCAGTGCCTCTATAAGAGTAGATACAAATATAAAAACCCAAGATGACCCTATATAAAGAGCAACTTAAGTTTGACAACTATAATTTAAATAAAACATAATCAATTGAAAATTATAACTAACATAGAACTTAAATGTAAAACATCCGAATTAATATATCAAAACAACATAAAGGTTCACAAATGTGTGCATAGATTGTATGGCCAAAGTTGTTAAATGAGCTAATGTGATCTAACAAGGTCTAACAAGGTCCCAACTGCATTTATACTATCGAATGAGCAGTCTGGTAGTAGTTTCTCTTCATCTAATCCTTCTCTCCATATGCTTGTGAGCAGAGATAGATTTTCAGGTGTTTTTGGAAGGAGAGAAGGGAAGGGGTGAGCTTTATTTTTTTAGGGAAGGAGTTCTAGTGGTGGGGTGATCAAAGAGAAGGCCCTCCTTCTCTTTCCCGCCAGCCATGCTTGAGATGGGGGTGTGACTGAGAGCGGGGCCTCCTCCGATGACTGCAGGGCCCGAGTTGGTTTGTAGGTGGACATGCGGACAGTCAGATAGCCTGGACCCGGGTCATTTAGGGCTTTAAAGGTAATAACCAGCACTTTGTATTTAGCCTGGAAGCAGACCGGCAGCCAGTGGAGCTGCCACAACATGGGAGTAGATCTCTCCCTTTACAGGGCTCCAGTTAGTAATCTGAGTACCGGTCTCTGAACCAGTTGAAGCTTCCAAACTGTCTTCAAAGGTGGCATTGCAGTAGTCTGGGCGGGTTGTGACTAAGGCGTGGACTACTATGTCCAAGTCTGGTGTCTCAAGCCATGGGCGTAGCTGGGATGCAAGTTTTGGTTGTGCGAAGGTGCTCGTGGCCACCACAGACACCTGGGGTTCCAGGGACAGCAATGAGTCCAGGATCACACCCAGACTGCAGGTCTCTGTCTTCAGGGGGAGTGGGACCCTATCCAACCCAGGCTGTAATCCAGCACCACGATCTGCCCTTCTCAACCCCGAAGGGGACTCAAAGTGGCTTTACACTTAGGCAACTATTCAATGCCTTAAAACAACATACAATTAAAATAAACATTTACATTTAGATAAAATTAATACACATTAGAACAATTAAAAACATAACATCCATTATTAAAACCATCCCAGCCACAATCGTAATACGGGGCCACTGCAATAGTCATTTCACATATTCCATATCCTTCTATTGCACTGTTGGCCACTGCTATATTGTTGTGCACACAACTGGCAACATTAAGGAACCTGGCTGAAATGCTTCTGTTACATTACATTAATTTATTTATTATATCCATGTGCAGGTCATCTGGTGTTTGAAAACCAGAAACAAAAAGAAACTAAAATTGCAAGGCAAGAAAAGTAAGAAATTAGCCAAGAATCTCCTGAAAGCACCCGACAACAGAAACAACATTTCTCTTTGGCAACTGTATGCCCACTTGGAGTGGCTCCTTGGCAATACAGAAGAGGCCAGAAAGGTTTTTGATATGGCCCTGAGCATGGCAGGAGAGGCTGGAGTCAGGACTCTCCAGGTGTGTAAGCTTGGTCTGCTTTACGCTGAACTGGAAACAGAGTTGCTTGGCGCTCCTGAAGGAAGCCTTGAGTGCCGTGCAGTCCATATATTAACCAGTCTGGTGGAAAAGAGCCCTTATGTACCTTACACTGGGCAGGTACTATCCGTGAACATTTTGAAAGCTCGGAAGACATACCAGCACTTGCTCCAGGAGTACCTAAGCGAAGGCTCAGTCTCTGAACAAGAGCAGACCAGCTTTTCCAGTCACTTGGCTGGCGTGGTTGGCTGTTACTCCCTTTTCCAGTATTTAACTCTTGGGATTGATGCTGCTGTGTCGATATACAGAGAGGTGCATGAAAAGCTCAAGGGCAAGAAGCCTAGTGAAGGGCTCAGTAGTCAAAATTTCACTCCGGCTCTTGAATCCGTCACATTGATGCATGTGAGTTTGCTCAGATACCACATGAAAACGACCGTCTATCCTTTGCATCCCTTGCGTGAAGCTCTGTTGGAGGCTTTGAAGATGTATCCTAGCAACCAGCATCTCTGGAGGGCATACGTTCAGATCCAGAGCAAAACTCACAATGCCAGTAAAGCGCGGCGGTTTTTTGACAGCATCACGCGGACGACGAAGTCACTGGAGCCCTGGCTGTTTGCCATCCAAGTCGAGCAGATGAGAAAAAAGCTTGTTGACAGCGTCCAGAGGTAGCATCACCCTGTCAGATTATGACTGTAAATCAGGATGGGCAAATTGTGGGCCACAGGCAACCCCTGAACATCATGACTTAGGTTCCTAAGCCCCCCTCTAAAATGTAGTTTTGTATGCTTGGGACACACTCAAGAGAGATGGAGGTAGCCTTATTTCCTTAGAAGGAGTTTTACAATTGAGACGGTACTTCAGGAAACATGCTGCCTTGTTTATACATCCAGCTTAGCCATAGTTGTAGGGCAGCATTGCCCAACCTGAAGTTGGAACCCCGTGGGGGAGGGGTCTGAGGGGGTTTCAGAGGGGTTGCCAAAGACCATCAGAAAACATATATTTCTGATGGTCTTAGGAACCTCTTTGGCAGAGAAGGCTGAAGATCTCTCTGCCTTTCCTTCTCTTCCTTTTTGGAAACAGACGGGGAATCCTCCCACCAAAAGTCCTCATCCGCTGTGATTGGCTGGTCTCTCAGCCAGCCTCTCAGCCAAGGGGGGAGGGGGGTTTGAGAAAAACTGTTGTCGGGAATATAAGAGGACCCCCACTGCAGATCTCAAATTCTAGGCTGGGTCATAAAGATGGAGGCAGACGTTCACCTTGCTGTTGTGATGATCCTAAGGTGAATCTTTCACAAGGTTTTCTTGGTAAGATTGGTTCAGAACATGTTTGCTTTTCTGTGAGGCTGAGAGAATGTGACTGGCCCATGAATACCTACTGGATTTCCATGTCTAAGTGGGGATTGCCACCCTATGACTCAAACCATTACATTGCACTGGTTCTCCATTTCACTTTGGTGTTTAAAAATCAGTATCTTGAATGGTGATGGGTAACAAATTGGAGGCCAGTGCAGTTGATTCAAAAACAGTGACATGAGATTTCTAAAGTAAACATCAAAGAGCTGTTCAGCTGTTGCATTTAGCACTAGCTGTATCTTCTCAGCACTTTTTAAGGGCTGTTTAGTGTAGAGTGCATTACTGTAGACTAATTCAGGGGCAATTAAGGTTTGGATCAGTGTGGCTGAGTCAGTTTTAGAGGGGTGCAGCTGGGTGCCCCTCAAAATCTTGGGAAGACCCAATAAAATAGCTGGGTGGCTTTAACTCGGGCATGGGCAAACTTTGGTCCTCCAAGTGTTTTGGACTCCAACCCCCCACAATTCCTAACAGCTTCAGGATCCTTCCTTTCCCCCTCAGCCGCGAAATGGAAAGGGCCTGAGGCTGTTAGGAATTGTGGGAGTTGGAGTCCAAAACATCTGGAGGGCCAAAGTTTGCCCATGCCTGCTTTAACTGGATGCTCTTTGCCAGACTTCCCTATCTCAAGAGGTTGTTGAAAAAACAAAAATGTTTAAAAGAACAAAATAAAAAGGTGAAGGATGAACAGTATAACCTTGTTATTCAGATGGATTTTAAATAAATAAAAACTTGTCAGGAATTCCTTCTGCTGCCCTTGTTTTTTAATCCCTGTAGTCTACAGGGCTGTAGTATTTTTTGGAAGGAAAGATGATGTGCACCCATTTCCTTTGCATTAACAATGTTGTTTACTTCCTTATGATTTTTTTTCCTTTCAGGGGGGCCAACGGAGATGTCCATGCAACTATCCCTGAAACTGGTCTAACCAACCGAATCAAAGCTTTGTTTGAACATGCAATTGAGACTGAAAATGGGGCCCACTGCCCATTACTTTGGAGGCTCTATATAGACTTTATGGTGAGAGAAAACTAGGGAGTCAGAATGGACCTTCCCCTTCCTGTGGGCAAATTCTGAATGGTGTGATGGTAGTTGAAAGAGCTCAGAAAAATAGAATTTTTAATTTATCCCAGCACCTGCCAACCTAGCAGTTTGAAAACATGCAAATGTGAGTAGATCAATAGGTACTGCTTCTGCAGGAAGGTAACGACATTCCATAAAGTCATATTGGCCTCCCCAGCATATACATTGTCTTGAAGGCATTGTATATAAACATTCTACATAAGTAAAATAATACAAATAGTATATTGCAAAGCATGGCCTCTTTTCTGCATATACGTTGTCTTGAAGGCAGAGTATGTAAACATTTCAGATAATTAAAATAATATGAATCACAGTATAAAGACCTGAAAAGTGGGTTAATATATACACTCAGATTATGCAATAAAACTATACAGCTCTTTTGAACATTTCTAGAGATTTATTTTCCAGTTCTAAGATAAACATGTTTTATATAACTCATTGTTTTTAACCTTTTAAAAAATAACTTGTATTCCTAAAAGTCATTTTGTTTCATTCTGTTTCAGGTTTCTTTGGGTGATAAAGAAAAAAGTAAAGGACTGTTTTATCGAGCGCTTCAAAACTGTCCCTGGGCAAAGGTAGGCTTCAGCTCGTTCTGTTTTAAAAATAAATAAATAAATAAAGAAACCACCCAGAAACGAGTGTGCCAAAACATAGTTGTTTGGATATATAGATGTTTCAGTTACTCTTTGGATAATTACCAGTGGAGGAGAGTTCAGTTAGTCAACTTTCTGTATTGGCAGATGGTTGAAATACATGGCCATTGAAGTCTCCTGCAGTGCTGTGATTTCATTTAATGTGTAGTGAGCAGCTGTGGCCTTCCAGATGTTTTTGGACTGCAAATGTCATAAACACCACTGATTTGGTTAGATTTTTTGAGAATTGTAGGCCCACAATTAGAGAAAGAAAATACACTGAAGGGTATTTATACGACAAGTCTCTAGAAACCCAGTGGATTTCTTTTCAATTGAGATAACAATGGAAAAGAAGATACTGGGGTTGCTGTGAGTTTTCCAGGTTGTATGGCCATGTTCCAGAAGCATTCTCTCCTGATGTTTCGCCCACATCTATGGCAGGCATCCTTAGAGGTTTACATATCTGTGGAAGGTAAAGGGTGTGAGAAAGAACTCTTGTCTGTTTGAGGCAAGTATGGATGTTGCAATTGGGTGCCTTGATTAGCATTGAATGGCCTTGCAGCTTCAAAGCCTGGTTGCTTCCTGCGTAGTGGAATCCAGACAGGAAACAATCAACTAGACCTAATAGAGGCCCTTCATAGGGTTGCAGTAAGTCAAAACACATCACAGCAAATAACAGAATTCTTTGCTGCAGATAAACCTTCTAGCTTGCTCACAACTGCGAGAGTGTTCTCAAACATGCCTTTGAGCAATAATTTGTACATTAACTTTTCTTCATTTTAAATGTAAATCTGGATTTTTGTTGTAATTGGGTGATCTACAACATTGAAAGATGGGAATGTTGGGCAATAACTCATGCGCCCTGTTTGGGACTATGACAGAAAATCATAATGTATGTGGAAGGTACCTTAACCTATCCATCTCACATGTGCCTCCATTCATTTCAACAGGAGGTGAGGGCACTGTGAGGTGTTTCTAGTTGCCTGACAGTTTTGAGGTCCTCAGGAGCACCCCTAAATTTGTTGAAGAGCTTAATATTGAATGACCCTCTCTGATGTTTAGGCTCAGAAGAGTCTCCCACAGCTGTGAGGGCTGTTCATATACCTTATTATTAAATTAAGGTTAGCGTTGACCTTTAACTGTGTGTTGTTTTCATCTTGTTTTCATAGGTACTATATATGGATGCAATCGAGTATTTTCCAGATGAGCTCCAAGAGACACTTGATCTGATGGCTGAGAAAGAGTTGAGAGTACGGCTCCCAATAGAAGAACTGGAGTTGCTGCTTGAAGACTGAAGAACACCCTGAAGATGTAAAATTGGACATTTGGCCCAGTCTTCAGTATATCTGGTTTAGGATATTTTACATGTTTGATGGACAAGAAATTGTGCTTCTTTTGGTCTTCATCAAAGTATATGTAATCATAGAATAATGACTATGAATCCATTAAGGACAAAGTTGCAGATGGCGCTGAGTATATTGAATTAATTTTGAAAGCGGGCTCTTTCAGCAGTATAATATACTATGACCAAAAATACAAGAGACATAGTCAGATAAAACCAGCAAAATCAGTTGCGTCCAAAGAACAAGCATTTTTCTGACTTCACGTCTTCACAGGTGGAAATTCACCAATGATCAACATGCCCTTACATTTTACCAGTTGCTCTAGACCAGTCTGAAATAAGTCCTAATTTCACAGTTTACAATATACATATTCTAGCAAGGAACTTTGCAGAAGGATTGTTAACCCGTATTTCACAACTAAGGGATGTTGTAATCTGTACATTTGTTTATAAATATTGCTAAATATTTTTAAATCTCTGGATTATGGATTTTTTTTAACTGTTAATATTTTGTGAAGCCTTTTGATGCCACTTTAAAATGTACTACTATGACCAATCATAACAGAACAACAACCCCAGACTCTCCCATAATGAATATGAACAACTGTTTGAATGAAGAGCTGTGAACAGTGCCTGCAGGTTACGACGGATACTAAACAGTTTTTTAAAATACCCACCTTTTTCATGCTCTCTACAAAAGCATGAGCAGTGTAGTCAATAATAGAGAAAAAATGATGTTTTCAGTACAGTCATGTACAACTTTTTTGTTTCATGGCAAACAAAACATTGCTACTGGGAATCAGTCACACAAGAAAACTATTAGAGCTTACTGCGTGGCTGCAGAATGGAGGTCTAATTCTAGTTTTTTCCTAGCTTATTTCTAGAAAAGATCTACAGACCAAACTCTTCATACGGTGTTTATATTTTACAACTCCCACATCAGTACATTTAGAGCATAGGTTAGGAAATTGCAATTTATGGGCTGCATGCAGCCCCTGAAGCTCCCTGTTTTTTTTTTGGGGGGGGGGGGATGTAATTTTGGGCAATTCCTCCTCACCCCAAATCATGCAGAACATCCCTCCACTTCATATTCCTATGCAGTCTTCTCTAAATGGCTATATCACTTTTGTCACCAGTTTGAGATGGACTTATAAGAAGCACTGCTTGAATATCAAGAAAAAAATGGGTGCTAGAAATAATAACGCACGAAAGCTGACAGGCACAACCTGGGGATCACAATCGGACACACTGACAACATCTGTCCTTGCACTTTGCTACTCTGCTCCTGAGTATGCATACCGCGTGTGGATTACATCTCACCTCGTTAAAACAGTGGATATGGTTCTTAATGAGACATGCCGCATTATCACAGGATGTCTATGCCCAACACCCCTGGAGAAATTATACTGTTTATCCGGTATTGAACCACCTGACATCCACCGGGAAGTAGCAGCCTGCAATGAAAGGACCAAGTCATTGACATCATTGACCCATCCTCTGTTTGGATATCAACCAGCAAGCCAACACCGTAAATCAAGAAACAGCTTCATAAGATCTACACAGATACTTGCAGGAACACCACAACAAGCAAGAGTCCAAAGGTGGCAGGCGAAAACCCGGAACCTCAATCAGTGGATGATACCAGATGAGGGACTCCCTCCTGGGCACACAGAAAATTGGGCAACCTGGAAGGCGCTGAACAGACTGTGCTCTGGCACCACGCGATGCAGAGCCAACCTTAAGAAAAGGGGCAACACAGTGGAGTCCACTGCATGCAAGTGCAGAGAAGAGCAAACCACAGACCAGCTACTACAATGCAACCTGAGCCCTGCTACATGCACAATGGAGGACCTTCTCATAGCGCCACCAGAGGCAATCCAAGTGATCAGCTTCTGGTCAAAGGACATTTAGCATAATGCCAAAATTTAAACTTTGTGTTTTTAAATACATAACTGTACCCAATTCGCTTCTGACACAATAAATAAAATTTAGAGAGGGACAACAAAAGAAAATGGGAGGTACTTGGGCTTGCTATGGAAAAGAGTCGGAGGTGTGTGTGTGTGTGTGTGGGGGGGGGGGGGGGGGGGGGGATTGGCCTAGTCTGAAATTGACCATCTTCTGATCAGAAGAGTTGCAGTCAAGCAAGAAGCAGAGGCCTACACGTATCCTATGTACTATTTAGAGCTATGTTACTCAAAAGTTGTCCATGGACCACTGTTAGTTCCTGACAAGTTTCCAGGAGAGAAGGAAATACTTGTAGCTGGCAAGCCAGAAATACGATACTAGTCCCTAGCATTTTGGGGCAGGAGCGGGGTGGGATGTCCAGCCCTCTAATCAGACACATTACATAGATGATGAAGGAATAGTGGGCTATGTAGGAAAATGAGGGACAACAAAATACTGAGTATACAATTGATTCTACTGGTAGACTTGGTGCTGAATTAAGAAACATTCACTAATTCAGCAAGCAAACGTAATATGTGTATGTTCCTCAAAACACCATCGTGTTCTTGTTTGAATGCAGAAAGGTCTAACTCAGTAAATAAACAACATAAATGTTTGATAATATCACAAAGGATGTTTACCAGCTTTAGCATGGTAGCAAACAGCCCTCTGTTCTGAACTTCCCTGTCTACTTTAATAGCAACGAGGGCACAAGAACTGTGTTTTATGCCACCCCTTGCGCCAGTCCAACGGCTGAGCCTTCACATGCTGTTGGAGTCATAGCAGTAATTTCATATACCTGGCACTGAAGCAACACTCCCTGGAACCTGCTAGGACATTTACTTAGTTGGTTTAGATTTACAACCACAAAAGAAAAAAATATTAATGAGGGACTAAAAGTGAGAGCAAACAGAAGTGTATGTACAGCCAGGAGTACCGGGCCATTTTATTGCTTGATGTGTTGTGTTTCTTTTTAACAAGAAGATAGGCACAAGGTACATTTGTTTGTGCCAAGAGTATTGGGAACATAGTAACAATTATGGAGGTATCTGGGTATCGCTATACCAGCCTATGGGCATCACAGCTAGTGTTTCATAGCAGCAGCCGTAGGGAAAGTTGGAACTCCCTCCAGATGGAAGCTGTGTAAAACACAACTTTTAGCATTAAAAACTGTAATTAGTTCTCTATGAGGCAAAGCCCTCATGGTAATTGCGGCAAGATGCAGTTAAAAAAGATTAACTTGGACCTGCCCAATAATCTAACTCAGGCTGTCAGCAACCAGGCTGCTAAACTATTCAGTTGTGGCAGTGCACAGTCTACTTGCAAACAGGCCATTAGCTGGGTGCCAAAATAGTACTGTCTGAGAGGGACGTTCTTTCCTACAGAGGTAATATAGTAGACAAAGGTTTGTTTCACCACAGGTTTTCTTCAAAGGTTGCTCTGTACTTTGAGTTCCTGTTAAGAGAAAAAGCAGCACACAAATAAATATAATCATAATTCTGTAGATCAGGTGGATCTTCGAAAACATTTTTTCCTTTCCAGATATTCTCTTCAGAGAAAAGGCAGGAAATCTCTTATATAGTTGAATGATGTGTCTCCTAATAAGCATATTTGTTTGAAAATAAATTCAACAGAACCCTTTAGGACAGTGGTTTCCAACCTGTGGTCCGTGGACCACCAGTGATCCGCAAGAATTAAAATATGGTTGGCGGGCTCACCGTTACTACAACGTTGCAACAAGAGCAACTGGTTTTGCAAAACCCTCTTATCATGCCAAGGCTTATTAAATATGGTTTTCTGTGAGCAAGCAGATGATGACTACTGGATGTCACATCAGCTCTAGATTATCAAATATGGTTTTCAGATGGTGATTACTGGATGGCATATGTTCTGCATCAGAAATGAGAGCTGATGTTGTCTATCCAATGCAATTTTCTGAATCAGCACCCCAAATTACCAAACCAAATTTAAAGTTGACCAAAAACTGATTCGTAACCCTTTTGATACTAATGTTGGAGAGTGGCCCCTAGTCAAAGTGGTCCTTGGTCAAAAAAGGTTGGGAACAACTGCTTTAGGACAAATTTACAATCAAGTGCATAGCTACATTCAGGGTCAGCACTGTGGCACATAGTCCAGTATGTGTATATATGCACTCAACAGTTTTAGGATATTAGCCATTTATTGGCACTCTTGAGCTTGCTTCCTTTTTCTAACGTTACTGTTGAAGCAAGCAGATTTTTCTTAAAATAATGGGAGTACAGCCTAAGGTCCCTTGATGTTCTTTATTCCTGAACCATATAGCATGATCTGGTGCAAAATCTTTCCATCAGCCTTGGCTGTTGCAGAAATGTGTAGTGACAGACCATATTTAGGCTGAAGACATAATAGCCCTGCTGGAGCAGACCCCAGGCCTATTTAGTCCACCATTGTGTTCTCACAACAGATAAAAGTCCTGCAAAGCCCTCGAGGAAGATGAATATATCTGCATTCCTAACCAGTATTTGTTGTTAACCATACCGTAGAAAAGGGGATGATGAAAACTGTGTTCCATCTTTTCTTTGGGGCAGATTTTTTTTTAGATTTCAGCTTCCCTAAAAGCCACAGTAAATACAACCAGTGGTACAGGAGCTGTAGTCCAGAACATCATTCAGCACCAGTCTCTTCCACCATTTTCAAATTTTGCTTAATGGTGAATACTTGTTCACATGGTCTGCAGTGAAAATATAAACCAGAAGCTGTGGCTAAGATCTTAAGTACAATTTATGTATTTTGATGAAGTAATAGATATCAGCATGTATCAATAGTATCAACTCTCCTGGTTATAAAGCTAACAAGCTTGATTAATCCAAGGCAGCAGACATAGCAAAATGACAGCCAAAGAAGTTAGGAGAAGTAACCCATATTTTGTGGTGAGTTATTAGTATCTCATAGTAAGCATTTTGTCACCGAAACATCAGCAAAAGGGGCACCTGCTCACAACAGCTCCTTTCAACTGCAGTCCTTTGTCAATATCTATTTCTAGTACTTAGCACTGTCACAGCCCGCCTTTAGAGTTTGAGATAATATGAAAGCAATTTGCTTTCTACATGGCTTAAATTGTTCACCGGAGCCATGGGAAACCCCCTTAGGCTTAGAAAACATACTTCATAATTCAGAAGTGGAGGGAATGTGCTACGAGTTAATAGCGTTTGCAGCACAACAGAACCAAAAATACACCCCAAGTGGTTTTGAATAATACATATGCATAGTTTTTGTTCAGTGCATCAAACAGCTTGAGCCAGACTTCTTTCAATACTAGTTAAGCTTTTGTTTTCTCATAGGAAAAGTACCTGCAATTTTGTTTTACAAGGAGTAAGTGGTCCCTTGTAAATATAAAACTTTTAAGTTTTCTTGCATGTTTGCTACTAGATAATCTATCTCCTCATTGACAACCTCCAGATGAGTTGGACTAGTGCACCTGGAAGGTTTTCTTTTGCTACAGCACTTGCATCAGTATTTTCAGTAGCTTTGTCACAACTGTTGGATTAGAATTGTACACAAGGCACAAAACACTTAATGGCAGTCAGAACACAGTGAATAGAAGGCAAAGCAAAAGGGGAGGAGTACAAATAACGGCAACAAAATTTGAAATAGCCTACAGATGAAAGAAGAAAGTGCAAAAAGATTGGTTGCAGTTAAACATCAAAAAACCCAAGGTTATGGCAACCGGACTGATCGATAACTGGCAAATAGAGGGAGAGAACGTGGAGGAAGTGACAGACTTTGCATTTCTAGGTGCAAAGATTACTGCAGATGCAGGCTGCACCCAGGAAATCAGAACACGTTTACTTCTTGGGAGGAGAGCAATGACCAATCTTGATAAAATAGTGAAGAGTAGAAACATCACACTGGCAATGAAGATCCAAATAGTTAAAGCAATGGTATTCCCCGTAGCAACCTATGGATGCAAGAGCTGGACCATAAGGAAGGCTGAGTGAAGGAAGATAGACACTTTTGAACTGTGGTGTTGGAGAAAAGCTCTGAGAGTGCCTTGGATCGTGAGAAGACCAAACCAGTCCATACTTCAGGAAATAAAACCCAACTGCTCACTGGAAGGAAGGATATTAAGGGCAAAGGTGAAGTACTTTGGCCACATAATGAGAAGACAGGAAAGCTTAGAGAAGAGAATGATGCTGGGGAAAATGGAAGGAAAAAGGAAGAGGTGCCGACCATGGACAAGATGGATGGATGGTATCTTTGCAGTGACTGGATTGAGTTTGAAGGAGCTGAGGGTGGCCACGGCCGACAGGGAGCTCTGGCATGTGCTGGTCCATGAGGTCACAAAGAGGCGGAAGCGACTGAACAAATAAACAACAAACAGGCGGACTATGATGAATATTTGATTACACAATTAAGAAAACTTGCAGAGAACAAGAAAAGTTTTTTAAAAGAACTACAGGAAAGGAAATTCCACCTGAACATTAGGAAGAACTTCCTGACTGTGAGAGTTGTTCAGCAGTGGAACTCTCTGCCCCGGAGTGTGGTGGAGCTCCTTCTTTGGAAGCTTTTAAGCAGAGGCTGGATGGCCATCTGTTGGGGGTGCTTTGAATGCGATTTTCCTGCTTCTTGGCAGGGGGTTGGACTGGATGGTCCACGAGGTCTCCTCCAACTCTATGATTCTGTTCTATGTCTAGAATATTTGTTCTACCAAAACAAACTCAATCATGGAGTGGAAGAAAATGACACTTTGTGTACCCATCAGAGATACAATTAATGTCTGGTCCAATAGTGACAAACTCAAACTTACTTTGAATAACACGTTTTAGAATAAAATTGGGCATATATTAGGATAGATATAGCCAACCAGGAAAATAGCATTTCTAGCCTGTGCTGTCCTACGCTCCTTTGGAATCTTGTATTTATAGAGGCCAACCAGGTTTACCTTCAGCAACAGAATATTCTGAAGCTGGCAACGTTTTGAGTGGTAGTTTGTCTATCCAGTATGTTGAACTTTTCATTCTGTGTCACCAATGTAGACTTTTACCTACCTTGGCTGTGAAATCTTACCCTCGAGCCATTTTGTAAGTTGATGAATCTAGCACATCCCTGGAATCAGGTTGTCATGGAGGAGAGTAAAGGAAACAGGATTCTGTCTAGTGACTTCTATACCCTTTGATTAACAGATCTCACTGCCACTATAAAACTGATACAACACATATTTTGGATAGATCGTCTTTGACTCAGAGCATTTCAAACCATTCCTACCAGGCTTATCTTAATTTTCATCATTTTTCTATTGTTTGGAGATACACATTTATAACCTGAGCCAAATGCTTCTAACTGTATTCTAGACTAAGTATAACAATCTACCACAGAAGTTAAGAAGCCTGGTGTGTTGGAAATTGCAACCTTCCAAACCCCACTATTTGTTTGTTAATGTACTTATCTGCTAACCTGTATTGTATGTATATATTGATTTGCCTGTTTGACTGACCTGTTTGGTGTGAGAGGGGCTATAGACATATGATTGTACTGAGCATGTTCAGACTCAAGACTCCATTTTGCTGTCAGTATGTTTTTGGACTTCAATGGAAGCAGATGTCTTTTGGACTTATGTAGAAACAGTTTTCTATATGTTTACTATATGTTTTCTTTGAAAAGCAGTGAGTACACTTATACAGTTTGGACTGTCATAAGATATCCACTTAGAGACTATGTACTATGGACTATAGATTAAGAATGATGCCCTGCGTTCTCAACACAGAAAAACGACATCCTATCTATATCTGAACTTCGATAAAAAATGTACTGTACCTGTATGGTGAATTAATACAAGATGTTTGTGAGTAAACAAGATATTTTTAAAATTCTGCTAGCCAAATATATGTGTTTTTGTGCAATGTCTTGTCTTTGTTTCTGGCAGTTCAAAGACATGGTTTATCAGTTTAACAGCTGAGTTACCTGTGTGCTATTACATAAATGCTAGTGAACATCAGTTTTTTAAAGGGTTGACTTCTAACAAGGTCATGACTTTCCTTGACTAATGGTTTTCAAAAGGTGGTCTCCAGATATTCATGGAGATTCACATTTGCCAAAAGGAAATGACATAATTTTTCTTTTCAAAAAGGTTATGAATGTCATTTATTCCAAAATGGTGAGAGTTCGATTTGGGGGGCAGAGTACAATTTGGGGGGCAAGACAAAATGGCAGCAAGACAAATACAATTACTCCTTCTCGCTTGGAAACCATATTTTTAATGACAAAATGTTTTGAAATGAATGATATTACAATACAGAAGAATTCATTTGCCACGTTTTCAACAGCATAAGCTCCCCCCTCCAACCAATGGCTTTGTTATGCTTTTCCCCTTGTATTCTGAAAGAAGGTTCCAAGGATTCTCCCCGCCCCAGAAAGAAAAAGAAAGTTACAGGTAGAGGCCCTCTGGGGTGCCTTCTTGTTTCTTATAGAGAACATTTTCTTTCGATTTTTTGAAGTCTTCATTTGTTACTTTCATTCTCCGTTCCCGCAGAGCCATCAAGCCAGCTTCTGTGCAAATTGCCTGCCAGGGAGGGAAGCGTCTGGTTAGAACATCATCCGTCTCACATGTACTAAATGGTATTAGAACGTAACTTTCAGATAAGCTGATTACGATTGTTTGCAGCAGTGTTCAGCTAAGACTGCAATCTTAGTATTGGAATGGAGAAGCATGCAAAAATGTGAGCTTACTAGGGACACAGAAATTTAAGGATGATTCAGAGACTCAAGCTAGAGGGTAATCAGACTGAAAACTACAACAATGACCCTTTTTATCGTGAAACTGCAAGTTGCTTCTGGCATGAGAGAATTGGTCATCTGCAAGGATGTTGCCCAGGGGACATTGCCCATCCTGTGGGAGGTTTCTCTCATGTCCACGCATGGGAAGCTGGAGCTGACAGATGGGAGCTCACCCCATCTCACAGATTTGAACCGCCAACCCTCAGGTCAGCAGTGCAGTCAGCACAAGGGTTTAATCCATTGTGCCACTGTGGCTCCTGGCAATGACCATGCACTTCTGTTATTCTCTGCACTCATGGAAAAGAGCAACTCACTATCATATCCCAGCCCAAACAGATGATTTACCAAAGAATATGGACAAAGGATTCGATCCCTGATGTGCTCTTCCAAACAAATAACCAAGGAGCAAGTAGTACTAGTTCTCTAATTACCGCCTACTCCATTCCTGCATGCCCTACTCTCAGAATGAGAGGACAAGATGCTTAAACATGGGAAGCTTGTGGCCCTCCAGATGTTGGATTCCAATTTCCATAAGCCCTAGCATGACTAAGTGATGCTTGAAGTTATAACTTTAATGGAAGAGGCACAGGTTTCCCACCACTCACTACAGCAATAAATTTCCCTTTTCAAACAAGCTTCCCCTCTCATAGTCAAAACCATTGTTCTCAGATCACTTTACTGCAATCCGTGGCTTCCCAATGTGAGCCAGAAGGAAGGCTCATTGTCTGTTGCCTGAATTAGAAAAGATTCCTATGATCTCACAAATCTAGAAAGTTCTGTTTTTAAAGAACTTATCCAAAATTAGGAGCACCCTTCCATTGTTCTTCCAAAAATTGTTGAAGACATGTACAAGTGAGAAGGAGCAAAATGTAGTCTGCAGAAGAACTTTGAAAGGGAAAACATAAATCTGCATCAGGAATCTTACCTTAATATCTGCACCCGACAGATCGTCTTTAGCCATTATCAGTTCATCTAGAGTAACATCGTCTGCCAAAGTCATTCTGCTGGTATGAATTTGGAAAATACGCTTCTTGGTTTTCTCATCCGGAAGTGGGAATTCAATTTTCCTGTCAATTCGTCCTAGGAAATAGAAAATTACAGCCAGCTCAGATTTCTGCCTGATGGATAAAAGACAGAAAGCTTACCTTGCGAAGGAGTTTCAATTTAAGACTAAATATTTTCGTTACTAAAATTAAAAGGGTTGCTGTGAGTTTTCTGGGCTGTATGGCCATGTTCCAGTAGCATTCTCTCCTGACATTTCACCCATATGTGTGGCAGGCATCCTCAGATGTTGTGAGGTTTTGAAACCTAACAACCTCTGAGGATGCCTGCCATAGATGGAGAGAATGCTTCTGGAACATGGCCATACGCCCGGAAAACTCACAGCAACTCAGTGATTCCAGCCATGAAAACAACAAAATGAAAAGGGTTTGTCACTGAAATGGTTCCCACAGCTGTGTTGGTAAAGCACATAATTAAATTTTTGAACTCTTCTCTCATTTTACAACAGACACTTATTCCATGATTAATGAAGCAAGTTCCATACACCATGCATTTCTAATTAAAGTTATATACTGCCTCTCTTCTGAATATTTCAGAATATCATGTACTTCCATCAGTCTCGTCTTTCTTTCAATGCACCTCAAAATATTTAAGGCTTTCAGGTCACCTTCTATCCAAACCTTGGCCAAAACTAGATCTGGTTTGCTTCAGCAATATTGTTGCACTATGTGCAGTACAACCCTTGTATCCATGGGGGACAGGTACCAGAACATGTATCTTTTTATTTAATTCGTATCTTGTTTTATTCCCAGAATTAAAGTTATGAAATTAAAACAGATGCTAGTCCATGAGGTCATGAAGAGTCAGAAGCGACTGATTGACAGAAAAAGGTAACGGAAAACTAACAAAAGATAATAATGCTAAATTGTAATATAAAAACTCTAGGGAATTAAAAATGTTTGAAAAATGCATCAATAAATCATTGAAAATAAATACAACACCGATCCACTAAAGGCCAGTCTTCAACAGTCACTTAACTGGTGAAAGCTGACTGGGTTAAAAAAAAAGATTTTGCCTGTAACTGGAAGAGTGGATGCTTTAAATTCAACAACTTGGGAACTGCCACTGAGAAAGCCTTTTCTCACATTTCCACCAAAGATGCCTGTGAGCATGACAGAACCGGCAGAAGGAAGTTTTCAGTGCCCAGAAGGCTTTTATGACCTATCTGAAAGTGGTATTTGTTCACAATCATTTGCCTCTTCCTTCTCTTAATCTCATTTCCTGCACTTTAAAAGGCCAAGTTATGAACAAGGTAGGTTCTTTAGGATTGTTCTTAAGTTGAATATGTATGTAAGTTGGAATAAACACATTTTATAAGTGGAACTCCTGCCAATTTTTGTTTTTTAGTTTTGGATATCTTGTTTTGCTGTCTGTGCCCGTTCAGAAGATTTCACCTCACTTTCTGTCACTGTGACAACTGGATTTTGAAAATTTAATGTTATCATGGAACCATGGATTGGTGATGAAGCTTCAGTGGAGACACTCTTTTCCCCATGATAATTCTTCCAGGAGCTGATTTCCTTTCCAGAGATTTCTCTCACTGCATGTTGCCTCACCCCCATTTGTAGCTAGGAGTTGTATGTAAGGCAAATGTCTGCAACTTAGGGACTGCCTGCAATTAAAACTAAGCTAAAGAAAATATACTATTCCAAAACCTCCAACTTTTTAAATGTTTAGGCAATTCTGATGTGTGGAAACAAACAGAATACAAAGCAACAATATCTTACCTGGCCTGATTAAGGCTGGATCCAGCGTTTCTATTCTGTTAGTGGCCATGATCACCTTGACATCTCCACGTGAATCAAAGCCATCTAACTGATTCAGCAACTCCAGCATTGTTCGTTGGATCTCCCTTTCGCCACCTGAATTAGAGTCGTACCTTGAAAGCAAGAGCAAAAAGGAGCAGAAGCTAAGCTACATGCACCAGAATTTAGAAGGATATTAGAGGCCAAGATGAAGTATTTTGGCCACATAATGAGAAGACAGGAAAGTTTAGAGAAGACAATGATGCTAGGGAAAATGGAAGGAAAAAGGAAGAGGGGCCGACCAAGGGCAAGATGGATGGATGGTATCCTTGAAGTGACTGGCTTGGCCTTGAAGGAGCTGGAAGTGGTGACGGCAGACAGGGAGCTCTGGCATGGGCTGGTCCATGAGGTCACAAAGAGTTGGAAGCGACTGAATGAATGAACAACAACATGAAGACGTACCCCCTTCTGTCTTTCCAAAATCTCCTATTATTCAGCTTCAGTAGACAGCCCCTGATTTTAATACCATGACAGGGAAAGGAGAACTGACTTTCCCTATCAATTTGCTCCATGCTATGCTGTTGTTGTGGCTGCTGCTGTTTTTACAAGCAATGCTTCTGAAGCCTAGAAAGACACTTGATCTTGAATCTGACAGTTGTGATCAATCCACTACTGACATTTGCCTCTCTGGATTCCATAGGATTATTCCATAGTTCTTTCAGTGGAGGCGCAAGGGACTGAAGGTTTTCTGTACACAAGACATATATCTTGCCACTGAGTTAGGCTCTCCCTAGTGATTACTACAACAGGTGCAGCAAACAGTATGAACAAGCTCAGCTAAAAGAGCCTGGATTTTTCAGCTGTTTTGAGTATATCTTTAAACCTAAACCTTCAAGAGGAGTGAAGAATATGTGGCTTATGAGATGCTGCTGAAGTGCTACTCCTAGAAACTGTAGACAACATAGCCAACAGTGAGGAATTGTGAAAGTTGAAGTCAGCAAGATTTGAAGGCCCATATATCCCCCAACCCAATCCTAAAAGAAGGAGGGTAAAATATTTTCCTCAATGAACCTGGGATCACTGAAATTCTAGAAAAAAATTCTACAGGGGGAAAAATGAAGATCCTGGGATGAGGGCAGAATGGAATACATTTTCTTGGACTTCCAAATCCATCTCAGTAAATGAGCGAAGACAGATAAAAGTCAACAGACAGAAATGTATTCATGGAAGTGACATTAATGCCCTATACCTACCTTTTGGTACCTATGGCATCAATTTCATCTATGAAAACAATGGATGGAGCGTGTTCCTCAGCGACCCGAAACAGCTCCCGTACAAGCTTTGGACCATCTCCCAGGTACTTCTGTATAAGTTCAGAGCCCACCACTCTCAGGAAAGTGGCAGAGGTCTGATTTGCCACCGCTTTGGCTAACAATGTTTTACCTGTTTGGTTTTCAAGGTACAGAAAAGAAAAATTACTTAGTTATAAAGAATAGTGCTAGCAGCAGAAGCAGCAGTAATCGACCCGAATATCCAGTAGAACATCAGTGACTGGGATACAACATTGAGTAACATGGATGGCTTCAATATTTAGATGTAAGCTTTAAAAAAAATCATTTTCATGCAAAAAGTAAAGGTTTCCCCTTGACATTGTCTAGTCGAGTCAGACTATAGGGGGTGGTGCTCATCTCCATTTCTAAGCCGAAGAGTCGGCATTGCCTATACATGCCTCCTAGGTCATGTGACTGGCACGACTGCATAGAGCGCCATTAACTTCCCACCCAAATGGTACCTATTGATCTACTCACATTTGCAAGTTTTCGAACTGCTAGGTTGGCAGAAGCTGGGGCTAACAACAGGAGCTCATCCTATTCCATCTTATGTATAGACTGAATAATGCAGATATGAAAAAGGGAAACAGAAAACAAGTACCTGTGCCTGGTGGCCCATATAGAATGACCCCCTTAGGTGGCTTTATACCCATCTCTTCATAATATTCGGGATGAGTTAAAGGTAACTCCACAGATTCCTACAGGGAAGAAAATGATGCCATTATCATTTCTGTTCTCCTTCTTCCAAACAGGTTCACAATGTGTATTTTAAAACAGTATAGGTAAAGATTTTCCCTGACATTAAGTCTAGTAGTGTCCAACTCTGGGGGGTGGTGGTCATCTCCATTTTTAAGAGCCGGCGTTGTCTGTAGACATCTCGAAGGTCATGTGGCCAGCATAGAGTGCCGTTACCTTCCCACCACGGTGGTACCTACCGATCTACTCACATTTGCATGTTGTCAAACTGCTAGGTTGGCAGAAGGTGGGGCTACCAGAGGGAGCTCACCCCACTCCCTGCACTACCAGAGGGCTTTAAAACTGTAAATATCAATAATTCAAATATTTTCTGATAAACCACCAGTATGGAACAATAGCCTAGGCATCACATTTGTCTAGAGGATTCTGGAGAATCTAAAACTACAAAAGTATATTTTTCAAACTGTGTTCTTAATCCCACCTCCAGAGTCATAGGCTGATGGTTTTTTAAATGACAGCTTTAAAAAATTACATAAAACACATTGTGACAGCTTCTTGTGAGTGCTAGAAGAAAGAATACCTTGATTTCCTGAATCTGGTTGTCTAAGCCCCCGATATCTGCATATGTCTCTTGCGGGGCTTTCTCTACCTTCATCACGGTAACTAATGGATCTGTGTCATCCATCAGGACTCCTATCACAGCATGGACCTGAACAAAATAAGAGGCGGAAACACCAATAAATAAAGCAGCATGTGTATCAAGAAAATACATTGATTTGACATTTTGTCCAATTGATTTTAAAGCAAGGCACAAACAATACTATCATAGATCTGTCAAAGAGTTCCCCTGCTCAAATGAACTTGAGAGAACCTCTTGCTAGCAGCAAGCACTTCATTTATCTGACAGCAATTTTCAGAATACAAGATGGGAGGAAAATATTGTGTCAGATCCAAAGCTGACATGAAACCCTTCCTCTTCTCTCTTATATCCACAAGTGATTTGAGGGGAGGATGAGCAACCTTGAGACAGCAGAAGCAGTCTCAGAGACCTGTTGAAGTCCTGCCTGCTTTAAAATACAGTGGAATCAAAGCCATATCAAGAAATGTTACTGCCCTAAGACCCAGCAGCTAATGGAATGCAATCTAAAATAACTGGTACTTCTCTGCTTGTGATCTCTATCCAGATAACATAACATCACAGTCCTCTAACTAACTACAATATGACCAACTTTCTATCCATTGCAGATTATAGTATTTCTTCATGATGCCTGCATATGTCTTAAAACCTCTTGTGACTAAATTAGAGATAGCTAAAATGTGCATGATTCAAACCAGAAGGCAGCAGAAAAATGAGAAGCTGGTCCACTTTATCATTTTGCTGAGAGACTATCTCCACTGATTCTGTCTCTCTCTGCACTATTTATAGCCAAGGTCATCACTAAAATAAAATTTCAATTATCAATATGGGTGCCTAAGTTTCCCTGATCTCTTCTACCTTCCTTTTCCATTTGGCTGAAGAACACAGGAATTATTACTCTAATAAAATGTTGTAATATTTACCCCTTTTCAGTGCTTTGCATCAGAGACAAACTAAAGGATACATGACTTACCTTATGATTAAGCAGAACTGAGCAGCCTGGCTCTAGCAAATCCTTGTCTACGAAGGAGAGAATGCTGACATAGTGCTCTGACCCCACAGAAGTGGAGACAATGGCATGATTGTCATCAATGATCTCCTCCAGTGTTCCCACAGACATTGGGGTTCCCCTCAGGTCATCCACCTTGGATCGCTCTTCCTGCAGATCAAAATATGTGATTATGCACTACAATAACTCATCACCCAATAGCTTTGCATGTTTTATGACCTTTGAGGTTTCAGAAGGTCAACTTATCTCTGTTTGTTGTGGGACCTGACATTTAGAATGTGTAAGGTTGTGCAACATAAATAAAATTTCCACCTAAAAAGCCGAAACTATATCAACAAATGGCTTGAGCAAAACAAGAAAAGAAAAACAAAAATAAAACAAAAAGGATAATTTAGGAGTGTAGAGAGAACAGTCTTAATTTTTTTTTCAAGATCTACCTCTTGCTTTTCTTCCAAAGGCTTCATCTGTTCCTGGTTCCTGATGAATTCTTCTTCCATCAAAAGGTAATCTTTAATTCTTTCCAACTTCAACAATTTGAGTCTGCACTGGGTGTGAGGGGTTACTACAATTAAAGGGGGAAAATCAGCACAACATAAAGTTAAAATTTGAGACAAAACATTGTCTGTGTGGGTAAACTTGAGGAAAACAGTAGTTTAATTCATCGCTGGCAAAAGACAATTTCTGAAGCAAAGGACAAGATTACACCTCTGCACAGAAATTAATCTGAATAGCAGATAAGTCTTAATTGAATACAGGTTGATGGGACAGAGTAACCATCATATCTGAGGCAGTGGACTAAGATAGGGAATTCAGAGCATGAGGAATATACCCCTGTGTTTTCTATTGATGGTGTTGATACCGTTACAATTGCTAACACTTTCGCCCTGCTTTTTCTCCATTATGTCACACTGACAATTTAAATGGCTTCTGCTTATCCGGATTTTGTTCCTTTCCTGATCTCCATGGACACTGCTTTTTGGGGAAAGAATGTAAATCTAAACTGGATGGCATCAGACAGAAACAAGTAATCTCCAGTGGCAGGATTTCAAGCAACTTCTCTGAACAGACTGCCACAATATTACACTAGTTTTTTAAAAAAGTTTTTACTGATTTTTTTACTTTGGGGATGTGATTTTTGAGAAATTAGTAACATTATTGTTATTCAAATTTTTGATTAATTCCTGTTTTGCAGAGAGCTAGTTAATATTTTAATACTTTTTTCCCATGTGGCCAAATGTTCAACTATGTCTCTATTTTTCACAAACTAATCCTAAACTAATCATAATTCTAGAAGAGGTATTCTGGGCATCTGCAGATATGGACACACAGACAATAAGAATGCTGCTTCATAGTTAGTTCATTAGCCCATCTATAACTTACACTTAACTGACACTTAAGTTTTTCAAGATTTCACCCAGAGAGGCTTCTTGCAGCTGAACTGAGTTTTTAAAACACAGGCTCCCAATACTCAATTGTGGGTTTTCTCTACGTAATTGTGCGTACTATTACTCAATATGTCCGCTCATCAAGAGGCACACAAACTAACTGTGCTTACCCAGGGGAAGTTTGCTGGCAGCATCTGGTCCCTTTGTTTTCTTCTTCTTTTTCCCCACTCGGGTCGGAACTGGGGGTTCGTATTTTTTCTTTTTGTCCTTTTTATTTTAAAAATCAAGCAGAAAGAATCATAATGGGGATAGGTCTAAATCCTATTGTTAGCCCCAAATTAGAGCAGATCTACCGAATCAACATTATTTTGGTGAAGTCAAAATGTATGTAAGTGCTACTACTATAACTGATACAGATATCAGCAGTACAGTGTAAAGAAATATAGGAGGATTGGGATGGGAGTAGATTTCACCTCCATGTCATACAATTATTTACACCAGAAATTAAAGAAAACTAAGTTAGTAATCCCAACCTATAGCTCTTAACAAACACCTATGAAACAAGCATGGATTAATACTTCTCTTGCTAGATATGACTCAAGAAAAAAAATTACATCTGTGTCTTTAATGGCATCCCAAGTAGATCCCTGACAATCTCAGCTCCAGCCATCTGGCTGTGAAATTAACATTCTGAGCATTCCCTCCAAGCTGCTGTCTCATCCTACTTTATAATGAAGATTAGCGAATCTGGGGAGGTAATCTGTGCTTCTATTTCACAAAAACCTCCTAATTCGATAAAAAACATTCACATGGTCCAAATAATAACTGGCTCCAACAACCATCACAAAATTAAGCAAGATGTTTTAGATCTGTTGAGAGGGATTTCATGATGAATTACAGTTTTTTAAGGAAGAGGTAACAGTACAGAAAGGACTTCAAGTGGAGCAGTCACAATTTGTTATGGCCATATTAAAGGGCAAGATACATTTATTGAAAAACCCCATCTGATCTCTTCCTTAAAGTCATGCTAAATGAGAAAGAGATGTGGGTAATTCCTGGTTACAAATCAGAGTTTACAATAATGTCCAAAGTGACACATTACCCAAAAGCAACTAATACAATACTTAGAAGACTTAGAAAACTAGACTACTGCATTGCCAGTCTGAGACAGAAATAACATATAAATGAGATACAAAGTTTCTTATGTAGAAAGTGAAAGTATGTCTGAGAAAGTACAATTTGAATTTTTCAATTTGCATGGAATATTTTTTCTAGAAGAACATTTAACGCTGCACTTCTTTCAAGAAAGTCCATTATACACCTCATCCACACAAAATCCCTTATTTCTTTATTCTTACTTTGTCATCCTTCTTGCTACCCCCAGGGCCATGTCCACCACTCTGACTTTGACCCTAATGGGAAAAAAAACAAGCAGAATATAATATACAGCTGAAAAACAATTGTTTCCCTTAGTGCAGTTGAAATAACATCTATACAGGTATATGTCAATTAACAAAGTGGATGTATTCCTGGGCTTTACCTCTCAAACAGAAACTTTGGTACCAATGGAAAAAATGTCCTGGAAAAAAATAGAGCTAGGTTTCTCACTACAAAGAAAAGAACAGCTGTTCAACAAGTTTCAAGCAAACTTTTTTTATTCAAAACTAAAATTATGCACAGGTAAACTGAAAACAAACAAAGACATTTTGAATTCTCTGGAGACCACTCGATAGTTCTTTCCAAAATGTACCCAGAGAAGATTGTTTTCTTTCAACAATCTCCTTTCATTATAATTTTCATTTCAGTGGCAAGTATTTTATTTTTTTGCAATATATCAAGGTAGCTGGTAATGCCTGCTAATGTCCTTTCCCCTTATTGTAGATACAAGGTGGATACTACACTGGCAGCATAAGCCAGTTTCAAACTGGTATGGAAGAAAGTGGCTTCACTGTGCAGATGGTTGCACAGAAAATCCTGGAACCAGTTTGAGGCCTGGATGTCGATGGCACAAACTACAGAGCACTGAAGTGTATTTCTTTATTTGGCAGGCTTTTGAGGATGTTTGTTGTCTAGGCCACTGCTTCTTATAATTGTGGGTCCTGGCCCCAAACAGGGTCCCCTTAACTCAAAATTGGGGTCACGAAAAATGTGTCAACAGCAAAAGGTTTCTGAACCACCCATTTACACAAATCTGTTAGTAACAATGTGCACTGTTGATAGTGGCCTCTGCAGAAAATGCTTCAGCTGTACTCCTCACAAAAAGGGGAAACTGCAGGTGTTTTTGACTTTAACTCCCACAGTTCCTAACAGCCGGTGGGAGTTGATGTCCAAAATACCTGGAGAGTCAAAGTTTGCCAGCAAAAATATGATAGCTGGGACCCTACGCTGGTTGCACACTGTGGGTCAGAATTCATGAAGGGAAGATATGTATGAGACAGTGCAGTGAGTGAGAGATGCAGCTGGGAGGAAGGAAGGAAGGGAGAGGGGGAGGGGGAAGGAGGAGAGGGGGGTCTATGGCTTACACATCCTGCCTCCTGGAGCCCCCGCTCCTCCACTGTCAAAAAGCGGGCAGGGGAAAGCACAAGAAGAGGGGAAGGGGACTTTGGTTCCTGCTGCTCTGTTTGCACTTGGCCCTTGTAAAAACCTTCCCTGGCTACCAGCACACTTTCCGCCCTTTGAAGAAAGCAGCTCCAGCAGCTGAGAAAAGTTCAAGCGGACTTCCCTTCATTAACTCTGACATGTATTGTGCAACCAGTGTAGGGTCCCAGCTATCATATTTTTGCCCGTTTGCCCATGCCTGCTCTGGTGTCATGAGGCTGTCAGTCCCACTATGCCTTTGCAGACTCACATGGCGATGTCTTTGAGGTTAGAAATTATTTGAAAGCCCTTGAAAAATCTTGTCCTTTCTAATAGCTCAGGCAAAAGGTAACTGCTGTTGATTCACTTGCCTTTTGTGATTTTCCCTATTAATATAATTTGTTCTTTTGAGCACACACTGATGTTGACTGACCCCGCATGAGGAAAAAGAAGAAAAAACCTTTGGATTCCTTAATAATATGCCCATTTCTGGGACAGTGGGCAAGTCTGGCCTAGAGACATCCAGACCATTTTCTACAGGAGGCATCATCAAATGTAAGCTGCTAGGAATTGTGGGAGTTGAAGTCCAAAACGCCAGGAGGGCCTAAGTTTGCCAAGGCCTGTTCTACACAGAGTCACTCCACTTTCGGCTGCCTTTACACTGTAGAATTAATACAATTTGGCATTACTTTAACTACCATGGCTGAATGCTAGGGAATCAGAGGAGTTGTAGTTTTACATGGTCTTTAGCCTTCTCAGCCAAAGCTACCGCTCCCAGGATTCCACAGTATTAATCCTACAGTATAGACCAGGCCTGAGCAAACTTTGGCCCTCGAGGGGTTTTGGACTACAACTCCCACAATTCCTAACAGCCTACCGGCTGTTAGGAATTGTGGGAGTTGAAGTCCAAAACCCCTCGAGGGCCAAAGTTTGCCCAGGCCTGGTCTAGACGAAAGATGAGGGACGATGACAAGGCACAACACTGCGAAGGGGACGGACGAGCCTAAGGACCAGCTCTCCGCCCTCCCCAGGGCACCCGCCTTTCTCAGGGACGCCCACCGCAACACAACTCCCACAATCCGCTCTCTTCGCCCACGGCACCCTTCTTACTTACCATTCTGCTCACTCACAAGCCGCCGCCGGAAATGCTCAAACTTCTCCGAACAGCGGAAGCGGAAGCAGGCCTGCTACGGGACGCGAGGAGGGTCAAGCTGTTGCTAAGGGGAGGAGAGCAAGCGCGCGAGGGGGAAGGCGGGGCCAACCGTTGCTGTGGAGACGGAGGCAAAAGGGGGCGGGGCCAAGGAAGAGTCAGATTTACTTGGCATTCCAAAAGGAGAGGAAGTAAGTGGAGCAGGTTTTGATGGCAGCTAGACAGACAATAACATCTCTTTGGCTGTTTCATTATCTGGCATGTTTGAGTGACCTTATATATTTATCCATAAAATATAACATAAATATAAAATATAATACAAATAAAAAATATAATACAAGCATAAAATATAAACTAAATACAAATAATACAAGGATAAAAATAAATATAAAAAGATAAAATAGAACATAAAATATAAATATAATGCAAAATAATATAAATAAAATAGAATACAAGGATAAAATATAAATATAAAATAATATAAATACAAATATAATCAAATGATACAATATAAAATAAATACAACAAAATAATATAAATAAAATAGAATACAAGGATAAAATATAAATATAAAATAATATAAATACAAATATAATCAAATGATACAATATAAATATAAATACAAATATAATCAAATGATACAATATAAAATAAATACAAAATAAATTGTGGGAGTTGAAGTCCAAAACCCCTCGAGGGCCAAAGTTTGCCCAGGCCTGGTCTAGACGAAAGATGAGGGACGATGACAAGGCACAACACTGCGAAGGGGACGGACGAGCCTAAGGACCAGCTCTCCGCCCTCCCCAGGGCACCCGCCTTTCTCAGGGACGCCCACCGCAACACAACTCCCACAACACAACTCCAGCAAAGGATCACCGCCTTGTCGGGGCGCTGGAGCTTGAGCACCTCAATGATGTCATGAGCGAAACCGTGAAGGGCCACCCAAGACGGGACGGGTGTGGCAGAGAGGTCAGACCAAGCGTGATCCCTGGGGAAGGCAATGGCAAACCACTCCAGTATCCTTGCCAAGAAAACTAAATGGACCAGTACAACCAGAGATAGGTCGGTATGCCATTGGAAGATGGGACTCCCAGGTCGGAAGATGGCCAAAATGCTACTGGGGAGGAGCAGAGGATAAGTTCAACTAGCCCCAGATGTGATGACGCAGCTAGCTCAAAGCCGAAAGGAAGGCTAGCGGCCGACGGTACTGGAGGTGAACGACGAATCCGATGCTCTAAAGATCAACACACCATAGGAACCTGGAATGTAAGATCTATGAGCCAGGGCAAATTGGATGTTGTTATTGGCGAGATGTCAAGACTAAAGATAGACATTCTGGGGGTCAGCGAACTGAAATGGACTGGAATGGGCCACTTCACATCAGATGACCACCAGATCTACTACTGCGGACAAGAGGAACAGCGAAGAAATGGAGTAGCCTTCATAATTAATAAGAAATTCGCTAAAGCGGTGCTTGGATACAACCCAAAAAATGACAGAATGATCTCAATTCGAGTGCAAGGAAAGCCTTTCAACATTACAGTGATACAAATATATGCCCCAACCACAGCTGCTGAAGAAGCAGAAGTAGATCAGTTCTATGAGGATCTGCAGGACCTACTGGATAATACACCAAAAAGAGACATTATTTTCATTACAGGAGACTGGAATGCCAAGGTGGGAAGTCAAATGACAACTGGGATCACAGGCAAGCATGGTCTGGGAGAACAAAATGAAGCGGGACGCAGGCTGATAGAATTTTGCCAGGAAAACTCGCTGTGTATAACGAATACTCTCTTCCAACAACCTAAAAGACGGCTTTATACATGGACCTCACCAGATGGTCAACACCGAAATCAGATTGACTACATCCTTTGCAGCCAAAGGTGGCGGACATCCATCCAGTCAGTGAAAACAAGACCTGGGGCTGACTGTAGCTCAGATCACGAACTTCTTATTGCCCAATTTAGAATAAAACTAAAGAGATCAGGGAAAATACACAGACCAGTTAGATATGATCTCACTAACATTCCTAGCGAATATACAGTGGAAGTGAAGAACAGATTTGAAGGAATAGATTTAGTAAACAGAGTCCCAGAAGAACTATGGACAGAAGTCCGAGACATTGTTCAGGAGGCGGCAACAAAGTACGTTCCAAAGAAAAAGAAAACCAAGAAGGCAAAATGGTTGTCTGCTGAGACACTGGAAGTAGCCCAAGAAAGGAGGAAAGCAAAAGGAAACAGTGAAAGGGGGAGATATGCCCAGTTAAATGCGCAATTCCAGAGGTTAGCCAGAAGAGATAAGGAACTATTTTTAAATAAGCAATGCATGGAAGTGGAGGAAGACAACAGAATAGGAAGGACAAGAGACCTCTTCCAGAAAATTAGAAACATTGGAGGTAAATTTCAGGCAAAAATTGGTATGATAAGAAACAAAGATGGCAGGGACCTAACAGAAGCTGAAGAGATCAAGAGAAGGTGGCGAGACTATACAGAAGATCTGTATAGGAAGGATAATAATATTGAGGATAGTTATGACGGTGTGGTGAATGAATTAGAACCAGACATCCTGAGGAGTGAAGTTGAATGGGCCTTAAGAAGCATTGCTAACAACAAGGCAGCAGGAGATGACGGGATCCCAGCTGAACTGTTTAAAATATTAAAAGATGATGCTGTCAAGGTGATGCATGCCATTTGCCAGCAAATATGGAAAACACAAGAATGGCCATCAGACTGGAAAAAATCAACTTATATCCCCATACCAAAAAAGGGAAATGCGAAAGACTGCTCAAACTTCCGTACAGTGGCCCTTATTTCTCATGCCAGTAAGGTAATGCTCAAGATCCTGCAAAGAAGACTCCAGCAATACATGGAGCGAGAGTTGCCAGATGTTCAAGCTGGGTTTAGAAAAAATAGAGGAACGAGAGACCAAATTGCCAATATCCGCTGGATAATGGAGAAAGGCAGGGAGTTTCAGAAAAACATCTACTTCTGCTTCATTGACTATTCTAAAGCCTTTGACTGTGTGGATCATAATAAATTGTGGCAAGTTCTTGGTGGAATGGGCATCCCAAGCCACCTTGTCTCTCTCCTGAGGAATCTGTACAAGGACCAAGTAGCAACAGTCAGAACTGACCACGGAAAAACAGACTGGTTCAAGATTGGGAAAGGCGTACGGCAGGGTTGCATACTCTCACCCAACCTTTTAAACTTGTATGCAGAACCCATCATGCGATGTGCGGGGCTTGATGAATGCAAGGCTGGGGTGAAAATTGCTGGAAGAAACATTAACAACCTCAGATATGCAGATGATACCACTTTGATGGCCAAAAGCGAAGAGGAGCTGAGGAGCCTTCTAATCAAGGAGAAAGAAGAAAGTACAAAAGCTGGGTTGCAGGTAAACATTAAAAAAAAAACAAGATGATGGCAACCAGATTGATAACCGGCAAATAGAGGGAAGAAACATGGAGGCAGTGACAAACTTTGTATTCCTAGGTATGAAGATTACTGCAGATGCAGACTGTGGCCAGGAAATCAGAAGACGCTTACTTCTTGGGAGGAGAGCAATGTCCAGTCTCGATAAAATAGTAAAGAGTAGAGACATCACACTGGCAACAAAGATCCACCTAGTCAAAGCCATGGTATTCCCTGTAGTAACCTACGGATGTGAGAGCTGGACCTTAGGAAGGCTGAGCGAAGAAGATCGATGCTTTTGAGCTGTGGTGTTGGAGGAAAGTGCTGAGAGTGCCTTGGACTGCGAGAAGATCCAACCAGTCCATCCTCCAGGAAATAAAGCCCGACTGCTGACTGGAGGGAAAGATACTAGAGACAAAGTTGAAGTACTTTGGCCACATCATGAGGAGACAGGAAAGCCTAGAGAAGACAATTATGCTGGGGAAAGTGGAAGGCAAAAGGAAGAGGGCCGACCAAGGGCAAGATGGATGGATGGCATCCTTGAAGTGACTGGACTGACCTTGAGGGAGCTGGGGGTGGTAACGGCCGACAGGGAGCTCTGGCGTAGGCTGGTCCATGAGGTCACGAAGAGTCGGAGACGACTGAACGAATGAACAACAACAAATAAATACAAATAATACATATAATACAAGGATAAAAATAAAATATAAAAATAAATATAAAAGGATAAAATAGAACATAAAATATAAATATAATACAAAACAATATAAATTAAATATAAAAATAAATATAAAAAGATAAAATAGAACATAAAATATAAATATAATACAAAACAATATAAATTAAATATAAAAATAAATATAAAAAGATAAAATAGAACATAAAATATAAATATAATGCAAAATAATATAAATAAAATATAATACAAGGATAAAATAGAACATTAAATATAAATATAATATAAAAATATAAATAAAAATATAATCAAAGGATACAATATAAAATAAATAGAAACAATACATATAATACAAGGATAAAAAAAAATATAAAAATATAAAAATAAATATAAAAAGATAAAATAGAACGTAAAATATAAATATAATGCAAAATAATATAAATAAAATATAATACAAGGATAAAATAGTGCATAAAATATAAATATAATATAAAATAATATAAATAAAAATATAATCAAAGGATACAATATAAAATAAATAAAAACAATACATATAATACAAGGATAAAAATAAAATTTAAACATAAATACTATATATAAAAGGATTAAATAGAACATAAAATATAAATATAATACAAAATAATATAAATAAAATATAATACAAGGATAAAATAGAACATAAAATATAAATATAATATAAATAAAAATATAATCAAAGGATACAATATCAAATAAATACATATAATACATATAATACAACATAAAAAAATATAAAATAAAATATAAACATACTATATATAAAAGGATAAAATAGAACATAAAATAGAAATATAATGCAAAATAATATAAATAAAATATAATACAAGGATAAAATAGAACATAAAATAGAAATATAATATAAAATAATATAAATAAAAATATAATCAAAGGATACAATATAAAATCAAATATATATCTATATAAATAAAAATGTCATGTTTG